CTCCACTAATCCTCCTTACAACCCTGAGAATACTCCATCAGACAGCCGTGGCAGGTCAAAGGTCAGCACCAGACAATGGGGTCTCCATGGCTACCGTCGGTGCTGAAGACTTCCACTGAGTGTGCGTGTGTTTGTGTGTGTGTGTGTGTGTGTGTATGTGTGTGTGTTCATGTGTTTATGTATGTGTGTGTGTGTGTGTGTGTGTATGTGTGTGTGTGTGTGTGTGTGTGTGTGTGTGTGTGTGTGTGTGTGTGTGTGTGTGTGTGTGTGTGTGTGTGTGTGTGTGTGTGAAAGAGAGGGGGAAGAGGAGCTTGGACCTGACAGGAGCGTCTGCTGGGACAAATCACTCTCACTTTACATTAAGCTGGTTCCATCTGAGAACAATGGGGGTGCTTCGCTGCACGATGGCCTCAACTACAAGCTGTAAAAAAGACCATCATACACACACACGGTTATGTGCATGAACCTTCCCTTTTGACAAAAAAATATAGGAAAGAATCATTCGTGCACAAAGACACACACAGCTTTGGATATCTGTTACAGAGCAAACAGTCGCCGCTGGGTGCTGCCGGCTGCTGCCGGCTGCCTGTCCTCCCCACCAGAGGCTGTCGGAGGGATCGGATCGGCAAGTGTTTTCATGATACATGTGTTATCTCAGCTGGGCTACTCCTTGCAGCAGAAAAGGAAGGAGTGAAATAAGTGTGGGAGATAAATTAGTTTGCAGCAGGAGCTGGGCACAAAGCTGGCTAGCTGACTGGAAGAATGCAGGCTGCTATTTGTAAAGAGTATAGGGTCCCTGCTATGTTATTATGGTGCGCCTCAATCTCACCCACAGTGTACCTCACCAGGTGCATGGTGTGGATAAATGCAATGGCAGAAAGACACACAGCACTCACAGATGATAGATATACTATGTGTGAGTGCGGCTTTTGGCATTTGTCTAAGGCTATGACAAAGTATGTTGTACAATATACTTGATAACTTGTTCTGGACAAAATGGAAAGCAAAGGGGTTTGAAATGCCCAAAAAGTAACATTGTACATTTTATTTACAAGTAAATAAAAGGTATACAAATCAATGTGTTTCTTTAAAAGATGGCATATGTATATATATATATGTATATATATATGAAAAATAACTAAGAAATGTGGTCTTTAATACATATCTATATATATAGTATACAAATACTTCTTTTAAAAATGTATTGGGATAGTATCTTAACCCTTTTTTGGAGAAATTACTTATGTGCATAATGTACATACATGTCAACATCTTGCATCCATTTATGAATTTGTATTAGGTATTTAAGATGTTTTGCCAGTTCAAGTCAAATGGTCTGCTGGCACTGAGTTACTGAGGGCCAACTGTTTACAACATGATGATAAGTGACACAGTGATGACGGCTGTGTGTTATTATAACGTATTTTTGGTGCTATTTTGCAGGGATTTGAGTGTTAAAAACATTATCCAAAAACACTGACATCTGACTTGTTAGCCAATAAAACAGTGAGTCAGTTATGCAGCCTACAGCTCTAAACATGTCAGGACTATTTCAGTCAAATTCATTCTACAAACACAGGAGTGTTTGCACCCTATGAACGGTAGTGTTTTGTTTCTGGTGTGTACGTGTTAGCATGTGTGTTTCTGTGTTCAGGCCAGGGCCAGGTCAGACTGGCAGTGAGCCCCTTCCACACAGCCCGATACAGAGCGAGGCCACGAGGGGGCCATCAAGCCTGAGTGAAACCAGACATTTTTAAAAGGAAAGCACCACACTCTTTTTTACAAACACACAAACAATAGGAGCTAGTTTTGCCTCCATATACAAGCACCTTACACTGATCAATCTGTGTAAGGTATGTTATGGACTTAATGTTTTATGACACAGTTAAACCAAACTTAACCACAACAACACCAACCATGGTAGCTCACTAAAACCAGGAACAGAATCCACATGTCACTACATGAACTCCTCTTTGGCCTCTGCCCCTGTTCTAACAATCTCTGGGCTGAGTAACATGTGTTGGTAGGGCGTGTGAGCTTGATCAGCAGGACTGGCCAGCAAGTATAATGTATTACACAGACTATAAATACACATAAAGTAAGCCCTTGTGCAACACAGTGTCGTTTCTTGAGTTATATATACTAAGAAAACACAAGGAAGGGTTGCTCCCCCTTTCTGTATCTGGAATTAAGCATAGGGATTTGGGGATTTAACCTCCAGCTGATCATGATGATAGCTGTTATGACAGTGCTAGCTTCCAGCAGCTGGTGCAGTCTATACCCCTGCACAATCCAACAAAAACCTGTTCCCAAACCACAAACACACACAATACTAAAGCGTGTATGCCGATGTGATGTCAGTTCAGAGCCATGTGGAGACAACCACTGGCTCTGTTGCTCTGCAGTTCAGTCAATTTATATTCATTGTCACTCATGCATGTACCACACAAACATGTATACTCTTTAAAAGTCACAGCCACATATACTGTACATTTGACTCTGAGTCATGCACACACTGACCCACATTTTCAGGGGATTCCAAATAAATCTCTGCCTGGCCTGATCTTTTCCTCTCTGCCCCCTCTTGTACACTTATAAACAAATAGTGCACAAAGATTGTCATTACTAATACCGCAGGTGTTATATAATTAAGCAATCATACACGAGAGGCCGTTCTTTAACGTCATTATTGGTACGACAGTACTGCGGCAGGACCGAGGCGCTTGCGCCGAGGTCCGTACGCCTGTACTGGAGCACAGTTTGCTTTTCAGGCCAAGGGTATACCGTTTTTCTCAGACGCGGAGGGATACTGACTTGTTGTGAAAAGGCACGTTCTATTTGACCGTTCTTTGATCGTGGAATCAAACACGCCTATTGACCAATCAGAGAGCTTGCTCACACCTATGTGTTATAGAATCATCTTTAATCATCTACTGCAACTGCTAGGGCCTGCACGCATGCCAGTTGCAGACACAAGACCACATGGACCCTCACTCACAGTTGTTCACACAGAGCCCTCCCCCAGCCACATGGACAGCACTGAACTATGAACATGATTATGTAGCTCTGGTTGCCAGCTGCTGTAAGGAACAACTCTTACCAAAATGATTGTAAATGCTTATGTTATTATTAGCCTTCAGTTCCTAAACAAGCATGTTATAGATTAAAGATAAAGCACCATAGTAAGAACATATTTTTAGCTCATACCAGGAATTAAATCATTTTGAATACATGAGTCATGCATTAACCACTCTTGGACATTAGATTGTATAATAAGTAACACACATTCCTGATAAAATATGATATGTTTACATACAGTCCAAGGCTGAAAGTCGTCATAGAGCTCTGAATACCAAGAGGAGCTGCAGATATAAGTGATAATTTTGCAGGTTCAAGAATATAATAATTATAGCTATTTAAAAATGGACTGGGACAGATTCCTCCCCTAACTAGGGTCCTGACTGTCATTGTTCATTGTCTTGTGTTAAAATATGCATTCACATTGTCATTCAATGCCACTTTGCAAAACATCTGGCTAAAATCGGCCTTAATTACCCATCCACAGACACAAGCATGCACATTCACAGAGACACCACGTGCAACTCATAAAACAGCTTATTCTCTTGCTCGCACCATGGATGGCACACACACACACACACACACACACACACACACACACACACACACACACACACACACACACACACACACACACACACACACACACACACACACACACACCCAACAGTCACATACTACAAGCACGTGCTGAGCTGCTGCTGGTCATGTGACACCGCCTTCCCCTTTAACACACAGTCACAGACACAAACTTCCCCACTTATCACTCAACACATTCCCCAACATTTAACAGGAAGACACCAGAGTGTTCGGCATGTGTTGTAACCATAGACTGTATATATAAAGGTTGTAACTGACCGAGGAAAAAGTGAAACACATTGTGAAAGTGAAACCTGCTGTTTCCACTGTTTGGCTAACTCAACTCCAGATCATAGCTGGGAAACCTTGGAGATCAAAAACAATGCTGTCAGGAAGCATCTTTTTTTTATCAGCTGCTCTAGATCAGCAGTCCAGTAAATGCCCACTCAAATGATCCTAAGTCTAATGGCGCGTTTCCACTGCAGCGGGTAGCTCGCTTTAAGCGTGCCGAGCCGTGCGGGGCCCGTTTTTGGTTGCGTTTCCACTTGGCCTAGTTTTGGCCCGGGGCTACTTTTCACCTTTTTTCTGGCCCGACTAAATCGTGGTTCTAGGGCCAGGAACAACCAGGCTGAGTCGGGCTGAGTATGCTAAACTAGTGAGAGAATCGCTGGCAAGGCGGCTACAAACAACTACAACAAGATGAACATATTTGACCGTGATTTAATTGTAATACACGTTTCAAAATGATGCCGAAGTAACAACATACTGATACCGGTTAGTAAAAACCATGAATTAATGCTTTGACAAGTCTGCAGACAGACGGCAGGCGAAAAACCCTTTTAAAATGCGTGCTTTCTAAATGGAGCTTGGCTAAGCTAACGTTATATATGCTCCGACCGTCCACACTCACAACGGCCTATACAGACATAAATAAACCAGCGACTGTATTCGCCATGACACAGACAGTCTGTGGTTTGTACTTGTTTAACTTTTGTCTTGTTTCTGAACAGATATGAGGAGCTGTGAGCTCTGAGTGCTAAGAGCTAACGGCTGTGTTATTTTTCTGGGGCTCTCATTGAAGATGACGTCACGGCTCCGCCTACACTGCGTTACTATAGTAACTGCCCCAGTTCCTAAACTGTAATGGAAGCGCAGCATTAAAGTGAGCCGGGCCTAATAAGGCCTAACCAAACCGAGCGAGGCCTGCAGTGGAAACGCGCCATAAATGAACCTCCTGGTGAGAACGAACTAAATAACTGACTGCAATAAAAAACCCTGTAATGTGTTGCTATAAAATTAATTAATTAATTAAGTGCACGTGTGCAGTGTAATATCAGACTCACCTGTGCGGCAGAGGGAGCGAGCTGAGAAGTTCTTCTCCTCCTCAGATCCACACACTTCCTCAGCTTACAGATCTGGTGGCCAGTGCTGCGGTTGAGGCAGCAACTGCACTGGCCACAGCTGATCTTCCTCAGGCATGGCTCGCACATCCCACACCTGCTCCGCTTCTTCCTCTCCTTCTTCTGTTGTTTCAGAGCGGTCCAGGAGGGCAAACTGGCCCCCTCTGGCCCCCAGGATACGGGAAGTGTAGAGGGGCCAGGCTCTCCATACCCTGCCTCCGATTCAGTGTCAAAAGAAAAAGAGGACCGTGTGCTTTCTGAGCTGCAGGAGAAAGTGTAGCTACTGTCCAGAGAAGTAGTTGAGATCTTTGGCACCGAGTTTAGCTCTGCTACCACAGCGCTGTCCTCGCTGAGGTTTGGTTCACACTCGGCTGCAAGAGCATCTGTGCTGAACTGAGGAGCGAGTGACAGTGACAGGGAAGATGTCTCTCTCTGGCTGTGGCCCTCCAATGGCTCTGGATTGGATTCACTATCTTTGGTCTGCGTCTCTGCTGGTGTGCAAGCTTTTTTCTCATCCAGAGGAGAAAGGATGGCTAGGCTCTGCAGTTGGTGTGGTTCCCCCTGACTTGAATCCCTCACAATTCTGGGTTTGAAGCAGTCAGTACGGATAATAACCGGTGTATTTCTTTTTACAAGAACAGTCTGCACCATCAGGGCAGTTTCAGCAACAGCTGAGGACCCTGTGAACTGAGGTTTAGCACCATGAATGGCAGGTAGCATGTCTGTCTTACCCTGGCTCAGACCCTCTGGCTTAACTGCCTCTGAGGTGGGGGGGGCTTTGGTGGGATTTGAGGTAGCTGCGTTGGACACTGACAGCACATTTACAGGTGATTCTGACAGTTCTGTCAGTCCATTGTTAGAGTGAGGTGGATCTGGAGATTGAAAGGCTGGAGTGCTGGGGAGGGGGTCGTCAGGATTGATAGAAAAATCATTCTCCTTTTCTTTTTTCTCTCCCTCACAATTTGCCAGCCTCTCAGCCATGTCCTCCATGTCCTCCATGTCTTCCACAGTCTCAACTGCATTGTCTCCCTCAAAACTCTCTCCTCTCTCATGATGTATCTTCTCTTTCGTCTCAGTTGCGACTATCTCTCTTTCACCTGTCCTATTTTCTTTTAAGTCCAACTTGCTACCTTCCTCTTGGTGGACAGTACATATATCATCCTGCTTACTATCACAGCCAAGATGATCAAGCTTATTTCCAAGGATAGATAAACTCTTATTTCTCTTCCTGTTGCTCTGTACTTCTGGTGAGCAGATGCTTGTAAGCGCACAGGGGCTATCTTTACTTCTGTCACTGCAGAGTTTAAGCTGTCCATCAACATCGCCACACACCCCAGTCACACACCTCAGGTCACCGTCACTGTTATGACTGACAGCCTTTTTGTCTTGCTGGGTTGTAGTACTGTCACAGCTGCCCTGCACACAGTCTTCCAGTAGGTCATTAGACGGCGGGGAATCTGCTTTAAGAGGGCTGCCATCTTTAGCATTGTTGCCTCCTAAACTCTGATCTTTGATACTTGCAGGAGCTTCAGCATCAGTTTTTAGAGAAACTGCAAGTGTTTCTTCAGCGTCACTGACGGCCAGACTCTCAATTCTCTCTTCAGGAGTTGATTCATTGATGCTGGTGCTCAAGGGCTTGTTTCTTGTGTTTCCTTGATGTGATGCTGCTCGCCTCCCTGCGCCCCCCCTGCTGTTTCTCCCTCCTCTGCAAGGTTTAGGAGGCTGGTAGGGAGTAACAGGCACCCGGGTGCCCCGCAGAGACTTCCTTCGCCCCGGGGGGTCTTGTAACTCGCTGCTGTGGTCAGGCGGATTGCTCTGCCGTCCAAGCCTTGCAGATTCTTTTACATTTAGGGCATGGTTAACTCTGCCAGGAGACCTCCCAGGGCTCTCAGTAGCAGGCCCGCTAACCCCTCTTCCACGGGGGCTTCGGCCTGACTGTGCCTGGGCCCTGGTTGTTGACCTTTTGGGTTCTGCAGGTGTTTTCTGGGGCCTCTCTGTGGCTCTTCCTCTGGGTTTATTAGAGTTACAGGTTTGCCTCTTGGTGCTGATCACTTTCTGGGCAGCTTTTCTCTGAGCAGGTGTCTTTCTCCTGGAGGGTTTGGTAGTAGCAGGCATGGCTGAGGGTGTGGAGGGGAGGATTTCTTGCAGCCAGCATGGGACCCAGGTGAAGGTTTATCTTTTGCTCAGCACACAATTTGTTCTTAACCTTACACTTTTGTTTTTTGCTTGTAAATTATGATACCGTCATAATCGTGTAGCTGCGGTGCATGACCTATAAAGCAAGAGTAAACAGGAAGAAAATAAGAAAACAAATAGTTTCAGCGACTTTAAATGTATATTCAGTGTAATAATGCAGTATATGAGTTACAACTTGATGACTGACAACATAGTTATAAAATATCTAAAGCTAAAATCTACTCAAATGTTGTTTACTTTATCTGCTGGAAATTACATTTTTGCCCCGCCTAGAATATGCACGAGCAAGTGTTGTCTGGTTGACGTCAATAAAGAAAAGCAAAAGCATTTTTAAATACTACCATGGTTTTCTTTTTTTATATAAACTCAGAAGAACTGTAGGCTGTAAAATAAATAATGAAGCTTCAGGAAGGCTAACAGTTTAAAGGGCAGCAGGCACGCCGAGGAGTGGGCTCGAGCCGGAGGTCGGATCCTGTTTTCGCCTTTCTGACTGGCGGAAGAGAGGGTTATTACCGTGTAAAAGCACCTTCAGCGTCGCTGTTTATTAGTATTACTGCACTTGACCGCTGTCATTTAAAGCGCCATGCAGTTATAAGTTGTGTTGTTGCTGGTGAGGTTTCATAAACACGTTTAGGGCTGAAATGATTTACATACCAGAGAGCGACAGTTGCACTGTCTGCTAATAATACTCCGCTCCAGCGAGACAGCGAGACCTTGTATTGGTTTCCCTCCTCGGCAAATATAGACTGCTGGCAAGTTCAATCCTCCGTCGACGGTGACACATGGACATGATTAAAGCCCCAACATGAACACACATCCAGCGGAAGAACAGTAGAGTTTACACCGTGCACCTTGTAGTCTTTACGGTTTCCCGTTCCCGTTCAAATGTAAATCCCCCTTCTGTCAGTCCACGCAGGGCAGCCCCGCTCACTCTCCCTCCACCAGACACAACCTACGGTCGGTGTCCGCTGGCCACAAACTCGTCGTCGCAGTGGAGGAAGAGTGGAAAACAAAACCTGGGATGGAGTACAGCTAAGGTTTGTCTTAGGGCTCCTGGCCGTGGTTTCAGCCAGTGGACGCATGGTTGTGCTAAAAATCATTATAAGGAAATTAATCACCAAAACAACACAAGTGCAGTTGATAAGGATAATTCATAATTGTATGTGAACTGCTTTAACTTAAGTTATAATCAAAAACAATCTTGGAATTTTAGTGTTGAGCTATCTAAAAAAAATCATTGCCAGTGGCAGTTAACATTGAGTATTGAAGGTATTACAAGGTATTACACTTAAATATGATACAAATGTATGATCTACTTTATTATGTTATGGAAATGTCATATTCATACATCTAAACTGGCCAGAGAGGTTTGTATAAAGACGTCTGCCAATGAAAATATTATTATTATTATTATTATAATGAATCATTCCCGTAATTAAATACAAAAATATAAAATAATAATTATAATAATAATACCGTAATAACTCTTTGTTATTGCTCTTTTTATCTTAATTAACTGAAATCGTTTGACATATTTTGAATACATTCTTATACCTACTTTTTTAATACATAGGATCAAATAAAATATAGAATATGTGTAAAGAGACTCCTATTTTTGGCGTAAATCTCCCCTGTAAAACCTATGAAAACAAAAATTCTGAAATGTACCGCAGCCTGATCGCAGCCCCTCGTCCTCGTCTGTTGACGTCATGCTGCGTCATAAACGTGCGACTGTTTTCGGTCAGATGCTGTCAGTTAACTGGCGAAGGGCATTAGTGATACGTAAATGTTGAAAGTACACACGGTTCATTCATCACAACAGATCCAGTTTGCGTTCACCTGAAACAGTAAACCAGCAGCTCCTCGCGACCACCCGGCCTTCATAGTAACACTTTCAAACAGCCAGGATCACCCCGAGAGGAGAAACATTTGTTGAAGAGATTTCATCGGACAGAGCCCCCACTTATTAGTTGAAGAGATTTCATCGGACAGAGCCCCCACTTATTCTGTGTTCAGTGCCTCTTACAGTCTCGATCATCTTGTGAGTATCTTGATATCATGGCTAATTACCCTCAAAGCTAGTTAAACCCCATTGAAAACTTAAGTAAATACAATATCATAGACTCTGGTTTGCTCATATGGGTATTTGCCAGGTTGGTGTTACATTCCCATATTCACATGTGAAGTGTTTTTCTCTATTGTACAGCTACGGATGTGGCAGATTCCTCAGCAGGAAGGATGACATCAGAGGCTGTGGTCTCCACATCTCCTGCTATAAGCAGCGGGCCCCCTGCCGAGAGGGACTACCACTTTGTTCGCTCCTTTGTAGCTGGAGGTAGGATCTGACATATGAGTCTATATTATCATTAACAGGTTGATGATGAGGATTTACACAATGTAGAACTCAAAGATACAGTTTCCAGCCTTGTTGTGTCTGCAAGAGTATATTGGGATAAAGCAGTGTGCTGGTATATATGAGAGTATTTATATAAAGAATGTATTGGTTTCAGCTATTCAAAGTCTGACGAGAATTTCTGACGGGAAAAATCTGACATGATGGATTCTACCTTCTCATATAACTGTTTGTTGTACATATCCTGCAGTGCTAGTTATTTGCTGCACACATTTAACACCTTAATTAGTACATTTCTGCGTTTGACCTTGAAAAACTGATACCAGCAGATAAAAGAGAAAGTGAGCACATCTGCGAGACACAATAATGATCGATAACAGATTGTCTTCAGGGTCCTGCAGCCGAACAGACTCCTTGCTGCTGCTGGGCACTGCAGGCTCATGTACCCTGATCTACAGGAGGGGCTCCACTCTCTCCTGCTTTCTTTTGTGACGCATAAACTGCACAGCCACGCTACGGACCTTGAACATACTGCACTTAGATAGGTCACTTAAAAACCTTCATATTAGCTCTAGAGATACCATCACTCTGCAGATCTCTGAGCTACCTGTGGAACTTTGCAAGCACAAATTGAGTTTCCCTTCAAAGACCAATGAAGACAACTAGCCAGGGACCAAAATCACAAATGTTCACTGCCTGCCAAATGCTACTTTAGGGAGCTTCTTTTCAAATCTACCAACTATTCGAGATTCAGGTAATTATATATTTTACAAACAGACAAGCTAGTTTTCAAAAATATTTTAAGCTTCTACAGTAAGTTCTGTTTTCTACATTGTGCAGTTAATATAGAAAAGACAGGTATGTTTCTGTGTTGTTGTTTTGTGGTACTTCCTCTATTTATTTTGCAACACATGTTGCACTTGAAAATCGAAATGGTTAACTGTTCTGCTCTCTTCTATGTTGCACGACCAACGCTACTCTTAATATTCTGATGAATCTTATTTCAACAGTTCTATCTTTACATGATTGGCCTTTTTCATTGCCATGTCAGGCACTCAAGATTAATTAAAAACATTACAACTATTCTCCCATTGTAACATTAAAAGTTGCATATTAATGTTCTCTTTACGTGTATCTGCTTTTGTTTAGGTGTTGCAGGATGCTGTGCCAAGAGTACCATAGCTCCTCTGGACAGAATCAAGATTCTCCTTCAAGCCCAGAACCCCCATTACAAACATCTCGGTAAAAACAACAGCAGCCAACATGAAACGCCAATAAGAGTTTATTTTCACAACTCTGTGCCACATGAGTGAAACTTCTGACCTTTCTTTGCAGGAGTGTTTGCAACTCTGAAAGCCGTGCCAAAGAAAGAAGGCTTCCTTGGCTTGTACAAGGGTAATGGGGCAATGATGGTCCGCATATTTCCCTATGGAGCCATCCAGTTCATGGCCTTTGAAAAATATAATAAGGTACAGTCAGTGCTTTATTTTGGAATAACACTCTCAAAAGGCAATGTTATAAAATATATTGGAATTCAATAAAACCAATGGTAGCCGTTGATTTGGGAAGTGTAATAGGCTTTAATATTGTTACATTTTGTTTATTTGTTTGCTATGTTTCATTGTATTGTTTTTTTGGTTAAACTGTTGACCGATGATTCCTGGCATTACAGCTGCTAGGTAAACAGTTCGGGATCTCTGAACACATCCACCGCCTAATAGCAGGATCTATGGCAGGTAATTCATCTTTCTCACTGGTAAGACGTGCCTTTTATGTCAGTATCAGTTGGATAATATGCACTGTAATGTAGTTTCCCTTTCCTGTTAATGTATTGATCATTGAATCTTAGACTATAGACATTTGTCACCTCAGTATAAGCTTTCTCATGTTGTAACAGATACTGCATCAACAGTATACAAGAGTTTTGAAATTTGCAATAAAATGATTTGAAGTGGTCCAGTTCCCAGTGTGCTTGGTGGGGCAACATTAAAAGAGAATGAAAGACAAGTATTTCAATTGAAATTAAAATACAGCCAAAATGTGAAAGTGCTTGATCCCAGTTTATTAGTTTGAAGCATTCAAAGACTGTTTATAAAAAGTTCCATCTGTGTTGTTGTGTGTTTTCAGGGTTGACTGCGGTGATATTCACCTACCCTCTGGACGTCATCAGAGCCAGACTGGCCTTCCAGGTGACCGGAGAGCATCGATACACTGGAATTGCAAATGCCTTCCAAACCATCTACCTTGAGGTAGAGTACTGCTGTTCAACTTCTCACATAAACAACTAAGCCTTCATAAACATTATAGCTTTTCATTTAAGTGGCAATGGACATGTTTGTTGCTGTACTTGTATCAGTATGAAACAATGTTGATTGCACAATGTAATATCAATAGAATAATGACACCATCTTGGTTTGGATTGGTTCCCTCTTGTTACAGCCTTGTATGTAAACCATTGCACAACCAAGACAGGGAAAGAAGGGTCATTTGCAACTTGGCGACATCATTGCATATTCAATTGTATAAAGCGTAGTGGTTGTGTCTTTTGGAGAAAGGTGCGGCAAGGGACAGACTGACTGTAAGGCAGAATGTCCAGGGACTGTGAATACTCCGAGAAGCATTGGGAATGAATAAAATATCATTAACATTTATATATATTATTGATGCTTTTTTCACCTGACTGTAAAAATAATAGGTAGCTAAATATGTCCTTGTGGTAATAAGGAGGTTTTCCAAAAAAAAAAATCAATTTAGAAACACTTAAGGAGGAAAATTAAAAGCTGTATATTGCCACTTTAAAAATGCGGGAATATCAAAAATATATTGTAATTGTAATAATGTATCCTCTGCAATCACACCTGTTTTTCTTTTTTGCAAAGGAAGGGGGCGTCTCGGGCTTCTACAGGGGACTTATTCCAACACTTATTGGAATGGCTCCGTATGCAGGTGATTAATAAAATGATTTTTGTATTGATTGATATGAGTCTTTAAAGATGATCCTATATTATCGTGCAGAACAACATAAAATGTCCCCCTTCATAAATCTATCCAGTGTTCTTTGTGAGGTCTTAACTCTTTTCTCCCCTTTCCTTTTATCGTCCAGGTGTCTCGTTTTTCACCTTCGGCACCCTGAAGAGCCTCGGCTTGAAACATTTCCCAGAGAGGCTGGGACAGCCCTCCTCAGACAACCCTGATGTCCAGGTTCTGAAAGTGCACGTTAACCTGCTGTGTGGAGGGGTTGCCGGTGCCATCGCTCAGACAATCTCGTAAGTGCTGTCGGCTGGCAGCCAAAAAGTCCTAATGCTGACAATGTGGTGTGAAGTTTTCTTTTCAAGTATTTTATTGATGTGTCACATTGTGTCACATTGTGTCTCCTCTTAAAGGTACCCTTTGGATGTGGCTAGGAGAAGAATGCAGCTAGGAACCGTGCTTCCTGACTCTGAGAAATGCTCGTAAGTATCACCGATGATCCTACTCCCCCATATTCTGTTGGCAGGTTGTTCTGCACCTTCGTATATGAGGTTCTTAACTAAATCAGTGTTTCAATGTAGGTGTTTTGGACTGTAGATGAGAAGTTCCCACATTTGGTTTGATAATGAAGTGTATGCTTACAGCTGAAGAGAAAACAAAACCGAATAGGGGCTGTTTACATAAAAATAAATGTAGTCCTAAAACATCAAGGAGTATCATAGCTACTAATCTGTAAAACTACAGCAACATCCTGGTAATAACAATAGGCTTTACTAAGCTAAAAAGAAGAAGACCCAAACCCATAAACCCATTAGATTTCTCTCTGATTTGTATTGTCTCTTGCCTCAACAGATCTCTGAGAAAGACGCTGAAGTATGTGTACACAGAGTTTGGCATCAAGAAGGGATTGTACCGAGGTCTTTCTCTCAACTACATCCGCTGCATCCCCTCCCAGGCCGTGGCCTTCACCACCTATGAGTTCATGAAGCAGATCCTCCACCTGAACTAGGTGCTGGTTTTATCCATCCTGAGTCTGTACGCTCCGAGACCTTACAGATCGACCTCGATGCTTCCAACAGAAAGGGATCTGAAACTAACTCGCCACGTCTTAAATCGCCTTTTCCTCGAGTTCACTGAAGGCACCATGAGAGTCAGTTCACACAGTTTTGTGAGTCGCCCACTTCTTAAGAGAAGTTTTACTCAAACATACAACATGTGGTTTGAATTTCTCTCTCTCATCAGTGTCTCCATGGATACAGCAGGTTAGCAGCTCGGGCGATGATGTGCTCTTTAACTTTAACAAAAGAACCCTCTGATTGTGGAGAAGCCGCTCACACAGATGTCCTCTGGCTTGATTTTAAGATGGACATTAGCCTACAATGATCAGATGATCAGTTTCTTTCTAACTCGTTTCCTTTTTACTGACCTGGTAATGAGATTGTTGGCTATTCTGGAAATGTGGTTTGAGTTTGAGAATATTCTCATGATTTTCAGTGTTGGTTTATTCAAAGTTGTGCGTGTCTTTAAATGTATAGGGCAGCTTTGGGGTGCAGTAACTCTAGGAGAAGTTGTTGTTTCCTCTACACAAATCTAAAATCAATATAATCAATGCAGTGACAAAGCTGGCACTTTATTTCAGTTTAAACTTAACATTTTATTGCCGAACCTTGAATAGAGCAGGTAATGTCTGTACTCTTATCTTTGCTTTGCTTTTTATGTTGGTTAATGTCGATCAAATTTTTTATTTTGTAGCTCCGATGATATTGAATTACTCTGCTGCAATCAGAAAGATATTCAGAGTTTAAGAAGTCAGCATTTAACATGATATGGATGTAAGAGGGACGTGATGGGACCTCATGACTGTAGCTTTTGCGTCATTTATTTATTGATTCACATAGAGGTTGCCACTGGGTGGCAGCATTGCATATACATGTAATTGTTTACCATCACAGCTAGACAAAACATTCATATATATTTCATAAATTCATTAAAAAAAATACAAGTCAGGGTAGATTTTTTTTTTTGTTAATGAAAGCTAGCTGTCAGATAATAAGTGAAATATATGCACTGTTTTTAACCAAAATGTTGAACTACGAGCTACTGTCACAAAGACTGAACATTTAATAACGATGAAATAGTCGTTTCCTAACTTTCAACCTTAAAGTCACCACCTATGTTTACATGCGTCTCTTCAGTCAGACTCGCTTTTTCAGCCTCTTGCCTTTCTCTGCATTTAATATCTTACTGTTTCATGTGTTTTCTATGAGTTTTAGACCTAGTATATGAATGCGGGAAAATTGAGCCAATGGTGTGTAACCTTTATGGCTTGGGACTTTTTAAAAAAATGAAACATCACAGTTTGCATATATCCCCTATACACTTTTCAGTAAATGTCATTTGAATAATTGCGAGAGGGCTGAAGAGTTAAAACTACCAAATATCTAACAAACCATACAAAAATAAGACTTTTATCCAATCTCAAATGTGCTCAGAGACGATCAACCTTTTTCGAACTGCCCAACTAAAAACGTCAAAAATATTTCGTATCACTTTACAGCTCCAATAACAAGTTGATTCATCATACTGTAGCGTCTGTCGATTATAGTAAGAAATAGAGTAGGAGAGCAACCTGATTTGGCTTAAGAGTACAATCACACCAATGAGAAGTTCAAGCCACCATTTCCGAAACAAAATGTAGTATTCAGTAACACTTCTGCTTATTAAAATGCCACTCATCTTCAGCACTGTGGAGCTTTCATTTCTTTCTCCTTTGGTTTCCTATTTGGTGTCGAATACATGACCCTGCTGTTATTGCAGTTTTTGAAGTATCCCATCAACAATTGGGGAATAGATCAGCTCTGTTCTCGCTGCTCACTGCGACGTGATTATGTAAGAGAAGATATTTGGATACGTAAAAGTATGTAAAACTACACTGTCCAACTTCATTAAGCTATATGTGATGTGACTGAATATGCATAGTTTTCAGAAGGATTGAACAAAAGAAAATGCCTTTTTAATGTCTGTCAGTTTTATTCTCTCTATTTGTACATGTTCAGTTTTGCCTTTTAAACAGTGACAGAATTACATTACAAGTGATCTTGAAACAGTACGCCTGCTTGGGCTTTTATTTGTCTGTGACGGTGAACATGTGAATGATCCTGTCCTATACGCTCAGACTTTACACAATTTTCACAAGAGGCAGACGCTGATTAGGTGTGTTTTATTCCTTTAATAGATTTATTTTTTAATCTTACTTGTGAAGTAGGATCATATTAATCCCATTTCCCACTTCGAGTGTAACACACACAGACCCCTGTCAACGTTCACGTTATAGTTTCACCTGTAAAACCACAGAGGGACTCTATGATTTGCATTTATTTCACTGAAACTGGAATACAGTGCCAGCTGTTGTCCAGTGGCAAATACTGATTTGACTAGTAAATATGATGTGTAAAAGATATGTATGTTAACATGTCCCTTTCATATCATCAGTAACACCGTTGGACTGCCCTCTCTTTTTCTTCTGTGATACAGGAATTTCAGGAAGTCCTGTTGTTTGCTGACAAAGACAATGCATTTGATATCCTCTCCCTGGGATAAGACACCTTTCCCTGCACCAACATTCACGTCAGTGCTCCAGAAATCCCAGCTGATAACGCATCTCGAAAGGAGTCGTATTTTATTCTGACATCATTTTATAGTATGCAGGTGGAGATCCGTTTTGTGCACCTCCCTCTTCTGCCTGATTACACATGTTCTGTTGGTGAAAGAGATATGGGGAGAAGAGAGAAGTGAACATCAGTGACACAATAACAGCAAGGAGAAGTGTGCAAACCTCAGGGGCTTTGGTTGAGGTACTTTTCTGCAGATTTCTTGGTCTCCAGAGAGCCTTTGGACCTGTGTGACCGCCATGCCTTCCTACACGGTGACAGTTTCCACGGGCAGCCAGTGGTTTGCAGGGACAGATGATTATATCTACATCACTCTAGTGGGCACGGAGAGATGCAGCGAGAGAACGCTGCTGGACAAACCTCTGTACAATGACTTTGAGAGAGGGGCGGTAAGTGAAGTTACAGCGGAACATTTATTTTTAATTCTGATGAATGGTGGGTACCAACAACTGCACACAGACAAACACTGGGTGAGCTTGTTTGCATGTAGACTAAAAAGAGGAAGAAGAGACAGAAAGGTGCATTGATGTTTATTCTGTTGGAAGGGGAAATTAAATGCAAAGAAAAGAAGAGGTGTATTTGAAGAAATAATTGCTGATAGGAACAAAGCATTTTATTACAAAATATAAGCAACCTTTTTCACGTTTTTATCTTTTAAAAACATACTGTGTGGACTTTTTTGTGCTTACAAATAAATAATTAGAGGTCCTTTATTTAAATGTCCCTGAAATGTATTCTTGAACTGCTCCCTTCAGTTTATTCTCCATAGAGACAAAGTGTTTGAAACTACTCCAACCCGTATAAGTAAAGTTCATGATATGATTTCACATGGTGTTTGACAATAAAAATACAAGAAATATATTAAAAAAAAAAAGAAAATAAATCAAAATCATGCAATGGCTGTACTATTGTATCAAGACATGTTTGCATGTAGGACGAGGTATACATATCGAATTTAGCATCCACTTAGCATTCTTGATGCAGTTTTTTTAAATAAAAAACTATTTTATCATACATTAAGGTTTGTAGGTTTTATCTGTTGTCCCCTGCAAACTTGCAAATGTTTAAAAAGCATTTTATTTAGCTTGATATTTTTGAAGTCCCACATTTCTCTCAATTTGTTTTTGCAATTTATCATGCTCACATCGACAAACATGACCAAAGGGTGTCCACAAATGAAAGCCTCTATATGACATTGAGGTTTTCACATACTATGCTGTGACATGCTAAATGTGTTTTACCTCTTCCCTTTATACAACAACGCTTACTGACGATACACTATTAATCCACGGTGGATTCTTTAAATAACACTATTTTCCTAGTTCATTTATTTCCCTGCTGAATAAATTGCAGGTGGACTCCTATGACGTGAGGGTGGATGAGAACCTGGGAGAGATTGTGTTGGTGAAGATTGAGAAGAAAAGGTACTGGGTGCAGGATGACTGGTACTGCAAGTACGTCACAGTGAAGACCCCCAGTGGAGACTATCTGGAGTTCCCCTGCTTCCGCTGGCTGGTGGATGACAAGGAGGTGGTGCTGCGGGATGCAAGAGGTATACATGAGTTTGCTTTTCCAGACTGCCTGCCTCGTCTTTTCATCAGTCTGCAGGTCAAACTCTGTTATTGTTCCATGATCGCTCACTTTGTCTTGTGTCGGTTGTAGCACACCTGCCTCAGGATGATAAGACCGGCCTGGTGAAGCAGCACAGACAGAAAGAGCTGGAAAGGAGGAGAAAGACCTACAGGCCAGTTCACACAATTTGTGGTTTTATGATAAAAGAGGCTGAGGCTGCTGCTCACTAACATCTCTGCTGTCCTTACAGGTGGAAGGAGTGGCAGCCAGGCATTCCTATGAGCATAGATGCTAACAGACACAAAGATCTGCCGCGGGACATCCAGTTTGACACTGAGAAGGGAGTGGACTTCGTACTGAACTACAGTAAGGCGTAAGTGCTCCCTCTGACAGCCTGCTGTAGAACACAGGTTGACAGTAGTTGTGAGGACAGCTGATGCCCCTCAGCTACAAAGAGGCCTTAACTTCCGAGGTGTGTTTCAATGCAAAGCTTTCACGATGCCCCGGTCATATGATGATCTCCAGCCTGATAACGTGCACTCTATTTTCTGTGCTCAGGATTTCCTGGAAATAAACAGAGGTTTCATTGTGTGTTTATCTCCAGGGACATTTGCATTTTGCTTTCATGCAGGCATGAGAGGCTGAGCACAGACACAGACACACAAGACAGATTCCAAACACATCCGTTTGCACCATGCATTAGTTCTGCTAAAAGTTGCATCAATGACAAAGCTTTGAAGCAGAGGAGGGTCTAGAGAAGTAGGTGAGGTGGAAAATGAGTCACGCAATTTGGAAAAGTGAGCTTCATAAGGTGTTGACAGAAAGGCTGCAGCTTTGCACACAGAAGTAAATGGGCTTTCACTGCTACTACTACTGGCAGTGAAAAACATCATAGCCACAATCAGTATGACATGTCATTTTCTTTAGGGAATTATTTGCAGTATTTAGTTACATATTCCAAAAAATACATTGTATATTGTATACTTTTTTGTACTTTATTTTGCATATTATGATGATGATGATGATGATGATGATGATGATGATGATGATGATGATGATGATGATGATGATGATGGATCTTCAGAATAGAGAACCTGTGTGTGAACCAGTTCATGCACATGTTCCAGTCCTCTTGGAGTGACTTCGCTGACTTTGAGAAGATCTTTGTGAGAATCAAAAACACAATCTCAGGTCAGCCTCACATATATTATATTATTTTATATAATATATTGTTGTGTTTTGTTATATTATATCATATTGTATTTGTATTATCCAGAGTATGTGATGAAACACTGGAAGGAGGACTTCATGTTTGGATACCAGTTTCTGAACGGCTGCAACCCCGTAGTAATCAAAAAGTGCACCAAACTCCCTGAGAAGTTTCCGGTCACTGATGAGATGGTTAAAGTGAGCCTGGAGAGAGAGATGACACTGGAGGAGGAAATAGAGGTAGACTTGTTGTGACATATTCAAAGTCCATGTTTAACTTGAAACCTCCCACTGACTAACGATGTGAATCCATGTTTGGCTCCAGGCAGGAAACATCTACATAGTGGACTACGAGGTGTTGGAGGGCATCACTGCTAACTGCACTGACCCGTGCACGCTGCAGTACATCGCTGCTCCCATGTGTCTGCTCTACAAGAACACTCAGAAGAAGATCATGCCCATAGCCATACAGGTACTGTTGAGCCTGTGTGTCCATGAAGAATATAAACACGAAGCACTTTTTGAGTCGATTTAGGCCTTGTAACTAATTCACCAGCACTATGGTATGATCTAGCTTGAAGTGAATATATCTGCACTTTCCTTGTTGTTCGGTGTTGGAATCTTTATGGTTTTTGCACTTATTGTAAGTCACTTTGGACAAAAGCGTCAGCTAAATGATATGTAATGTAATGTTATGCTGCATGCAACTGGAACAAACTGCAGGAAGGTCCTAGATATGCACCAAATCTAGCAATTCTATGATTCAGAATGTCTGTTTATGTGCTTGTGATGTAGCTTGGCTTTTTGCCAATGTTTTTATCCTATGCTATGTTCCTATCTTTTATTTTTCCTTATGTAAAGCACACATTATCCTGTGTAGAAACTGTGCTATAGACATTTACTCGATGTTGCCATTTCATTACACCTCCAGGGAAACATTTCAGTATAAATCCATTCCTCTCTTTTTCCTGATTCTTTTCCCCAGCTCGGGCAGACCCCAGGTGAAGACAACCCGATCTTCCTGCCCACTGACGCTAAGTACGACTGGCTGCTGGCTAAGATCTGGGTCCGCTCCGCTGACTTCCAGTACCACCAGAACATCACACACCTGCTCCGGACTCACCTGATCACAGAGGTGTTTGCTATCGCCATGTACCGGCAGCTCCCTGCTGTTCACCCTGTGTACAAGGTAAACCTCAGACCCATTAACTAGTTTATCCCAAACCTCCCAACCTATACTTTAAAATATCTTATATTTGGCATTTAATTATTTAAATTATCAAATGTTCTACCCTTATTGTTAACATTTAGTGGGATTTTTCAATTCTCTCATTGTAAATAAAGGTTCAATATATAAACGAATGAAAATGTTTTGATTGATGTTCCTTTCTCAGCTGCTTATGCCACACATTCGTTTTACCATCGCTATCAACACCAAGGCCAGAGAGCAGCTCATCTGTGAGTGTGGCATCTTTGACAAGGTGAGTCTGTGGGTGTGGACGTAAAATAATGACACTTTTCTATATTTGTTTTATTCTGTTGGAAGGGGAAATGAAATGCAAAGCAAAAAGGAGGTCTATCTAGGGTCTATTTAAGACATATTTGCTGCGAGGAACACAAGCATTTTATTAGACTCTCAGTTAAAAGCAAAAGCTACAACCAAGAATGTGCTGAAAAAGTCCCAAAAAATGCACTTCCTGTTAGGACATCTGTAATGGATACTTAGCCACATGGATGCAAATCTAGAAGGACATAAGCACAAATCCTTGGCTGCAGGAGTGATGAGTTACCTGTGTGATGACGCTGTATCTTCTCCATCCTCTTGAAGGCGAATGCTACAGGTGGAGGGGGTCACGTCCAGCTGATCCAGAAGGGCGTGAAGTCTCTGACCTTCAGGTCTCTGTGCTTCCCTGACATCATCAAGGCGCGCGGCCTGGACAACAAGGAGGAGCTTCCCACATACTTCTACAGAGACGACGGCTACAGGGTGTGGGAGGCGACCAAGAGGTGAGGAACTGCACTGATGTGTAGTTGGTGTGTTTAAGGGAGAGGAAACACTCAAACCATAAACAGTGGGGTCATTTATGATGGAGTGTAAGGGAGAAGTTGCAGCACTTCCTCTATATGTGACTGCTGCCTTGTTTCCTTTCTGGCAGTTTTGTGTCAGATGTGGTGCATATTTACTACACCAGCGACGAGACCCTGCAGGAGGATGAAGAAATCCAGGCCTTCATTAAAGATGTGTGCAGCTTCGGGATGCAGGACTTCGATCACTGTGGTGGGTACACATTACACACTTCCTGTTATCTTTTTAGCACTGCAACATCATTCCAAATGCAGCAGTCTGTTTTTCCATGGAGAGACAATGCTCACTCAACCTTAAGTATTGTGTTGTAGTGTAGGTATGCCTGCAGGAGACAGGTACGACAGGTGACAGCATTACAGACTCAGATCTGTTCTGTCACAGATGAAAGGTTTGAAGACAGGAAGCCACAGCAGTCGGATGGTGTCACTGACTGAGCTTCACTGTTGCAATGCCCTTCCTGCATTTCTCCATCACCTGCATTGTGAAAGGATCTTATACAAAGTTTGATTTTGTAAAGATTGTATCGCTCTTTGTCAATTCTGCCCGTGTACAGAGTTTCCCAAGTCCCTGAAAACCCGCGAGGATCTGTCAGAGTATCTGACCGCCATTGTGTTCACCGCTTCAGCCCAGCATGCAGCCGTAAACTTTGGACAGGTGAATAATACATAATCATTCAATATCTTTCTGATTTAAAGCTAGTTCATTCACTGTCATTGTGAAAGACAGGCATATCATAATGTTCAACTTTTCATACAACTTGTATTTTAGTGTGTCCAGATTTGATGTAGGACAATAGAACAGTCAAGTCCATTTCCAATATCCAAATGTGCTGTCATGAATATGCTATTTTACTAATAAGACATATTAAAAAAAAATAGACTGATAGATGTTTAGATATATAGCTTAACATGATCCGATTTAAATTAAAGTTATATCGTGTGGTCTACATTTTATATCCAGCAACATAATGTATGTTAAGCGTGTGTTCTTTAGTGCCACATAGTGGGCAAAGCAAGTTGAGCAAGAGTAGAAGTGTAAAGAAAATGTTCCTCAAAATACTTATTGAGTACAGTTTCTGAGTAAATGTACTGCATGCACATACTGTATCTGTGTGTACATTGTGTAGTACGACTGGTATTCCTGGATCCCCAACGCTCCGTCTACCATGAGGAGGCCCCCGCCCAACAAGAAGGGCATTGCAGATGTGAATTGGATCATCCATAGCCTTCCTGATCGCGGACGCTCCAGCTGGCACCTGGGGGCTGTGTGGGCCCTCAGTCAGTACCAGGAGTGTGAGGTACTGAAGAAGCACACTCTTACACAGCTCAGTACAGACTGGGTTGTTTTAAAGGTCACCTATTATAAAAAATCCACTTTTTCATGTATTTTATACATAAACATGTGTCCCCTCTGTTTAAAGAGATTCTGAAAGTTTCAGGAAAAAAGATTTGCTTACTTTTTGTCCTGATCCATTAATATAAAAACCTGTCAGATTTTGGCCACTTTATGTCATAACGATTGGCTTGTGTAACCATTAGCCAATCACCAACCAAGGTAACACCCCCCCCTTTATCACCTGAATCTCTTCCTAGAGCACCATTGTGTTCGTTCTAACTAAATCTCTCTCAGAGGGGCGTGGGGAGGGGCTCCTTATTTTCATCTAAAGTAACAGACAGAGAATCAGTACTTTTGAAACAGGGCTGAAACAGAGGGGTTTATGGGATGCTACAATGCATGATCTGTTTGGTATTTGGAGCCAAACACTTCAGAGACATGTTTTGTATATATCTGAGACCTATAATATATTGATGAAAAACAGTATAAAAGGGGAGCTTTAAAGGGCCAGCCAAAACAGTTAGATACAGGCCGTTTCTCAATGTCGAGTAAACCTGCTGCAGAGCCACTATTTCAAGTATACTATGTCATCGAGTGGCGCCGAAGGACTGTTTAAATCAGGGGTGTCAAACTCAATTTCATCGCGGGCCACATCAGCATTATGGCTGCACTCAAAGGGCCGGTTGTAACTTTAAGACTATATAAAAAAAAAATACATATCATATATACATAAAATAATGTATTATATATTACATTATTGCCTCTGCATTGGATTATTATCGGATAGAGTAATAACTTCATAATTAACTACGTCTGAAAGCAGAAGTCTATGGCAAATAATTGCAAGTATCTTCAGTGAGAATGTCACAAAATGATTTTAAAAGAAAGCCAAATTCTGGAAAAAAAGTCAAAATAAAAAGTGAAATGTTTTTTTAAGAAGTGAAATTTGAAAAAATAAAGTAACATTTTCAAAAACAATTCTAAGAAAAAAGGCATATTTAGAAGAAAAAAAGTCAAATTCTGAGAAAAAAAGTCAAATTTGAGATGCATTGTGGGACATGTAGTTTATGGGCAACGTGCTTCTGTAAATCTGCATGTAACCGTATAATATTCTTTGCAAGCTCTTGTGGGGCCACATAAAATTAAGTCACGGGCCGGATTTGGCCCCCGGGCCTTGAGTTTGACACCCCTGGTTTAAATGCATGTTAAATGCCCAGCATTCGGCGCCACTCGATGACGTAGTATATATTGAAATAGTGGCTCTGCAGCAGGTATACTCGACATTGAGAAACGGCCACAGACTCTACACTTCTACTTCACATTTGCCTCTCCCCCTGCACTGGGCCTCCTGACCCGGTCCCCCTCTCTCCCTGCAGCTGTACCTGGGCTCATATCCTGACGAGCACTTCACAGAGAAGCCTGTGAAGAAGGCCATGGAGAGGTTCAGGAAGCAGCTGGCAGAGATAAGCCTCTCCATCAAGACCAGGAACGAAGGGAAGAAGCTGCCTTACTACAACATGTCTCCTGACAAAATCCCAAACAGTGTCGCCGTTTGAGGAATAAAATAATGTCTCAACTTGATATTTTTGCCAAAAGCACATTGAAGTTCTGATATTACTGCGCTGTCCATGAATGCGTTTAGAAACCTTTTTGTGACCCCAGTGAGGGATTTGATACTTCTTTATGTTTAAATGCATAATGTGCTGACATAAAAAGTCAATTTTAAAACCTCAAGTTTGCTGATAAACAGTTTTTTGTCACTTATTTGGGTGAAAATTACAGCAATTAAAATGTTTTGATTTAAATCAGCAGTTTGTTATTTCTTTCTGTTCATTTCTCGAGTATAAAACTGAAGCTTTTAAACTTTTCATCTAATAAGGATGCACCATCAACCTTCTCACATATTTTGTAACTTAAAAATCCTGTTAACATTTAAGTTCAGAACAAAAAAACACAAAGCATTAAAAGTACTTAATTTTTATTTGGTTGTTCTTTTTAATTCTACATACTTTGTTCAATAATGGGAAATTAAACTGAAAACACATCAATATTTCTTTTAAAAACATAAGTACTTTTACCAAATCCTTTACAGTTACTATTCCAAAGTAAATTCACAGACAAACTTGTGGAATGATATCATAAGACAGGGGAACACTCATATGTTCAAGTCCAGTCAGTAGTAAACAAATGTAGCTTTATGCAAGTTACACTATTCCCAGACATTAGGAGATGTAAGGTACATTTGGACAGAAATACTGAAACCTTGCCGGTACAGTGAGGCTGAGGAAGTATCTTCTGTTAAATGTTAAAATGGCCTCAAAACTTCCGTCTCAGACTTCATGTAAGGAGCCAGCTCCTATGAGTAGAAAGTGAACAAAAAAAAAAAGAAGCACAATCTACATCCTTCATTAATCTTCCATCTCAGGGAAAGTAGATATTCCATGTCGTTTCATGTAATACAGGAAACTTTAAAATTTGCACTGCATTTTAATGATTATTTTCTGCATAATTAAAAATAATTTCGTAGAGCAACCAAGCTTTTTAATCTTTCTTCTATGTTTTTTAAGCTTATAAGTGAATAACAAAGAGTGAAAGTGATGTTCTGGGGGAAAACACCGTTAGTGTAAGTTGCATAAAATTACTAATGAATTCTTTTTTTAATGAACAAATTGTACTCTGTTTTCTTTTCAAAAATAAATACAACACAAAATGAAGAAAAAATCATTTCATACCCAGAGGACAACCTGGACATTAAACACCATTACATAACTATAGAATAGAATATCAACAAAAGGGTAATTGCACTTTTTATCTGTCTAATTGCACTGAGCCTCGTGGGGATCGAAGTTTCAGAGAAGTTTCTCGTTACTAGATCTTAATCCAACTTGACACACAACAACTCTCTCGGCTCATGTTATGTATTTAAAATTATATTAGACTCCAGATTTCAAGTCACTGTGGGGCATAATACACAAGTACAGTATGAATTGTTGCAAAAAACAAAGCGCAGGTTTAATTTATTGCTGCTGCTAATGAGCAGTACTTATCACGTATGTTGTTGGACCATCATTGTTCACAGACAGTATACTGGTATCAAAGATAGTTTTTTAAAAGTGTGTGTGTTGTTGGAATGGCTGTGAGGCTCAACATGAGCCTGGCATCGCTGTGCTCCCACATACACACTAAAGCACTTACAATGAGTGTAAGCCCAAAACACATCGGCCAGAGAAATCATCTGCTGCCTAGCTCAGACTGCACGTACAGCCACTCACCAGCAGGCGGTGCTGCAGCTCACTGAGGAGAGACGATGCACCCTGTGTGAGTGCATGCTTTTACTGCCAAATAAATCTCATTGTTTGTTCATGAAACGACCTAATATGTGACACTGATGCAACAATCTTCTTGATGCTGAAATAACGCATTTACAGTATTTAACATGTATTTCCTTTTAGAAATGAAAAAAATGTGTTGGAAACATTTGTCTCATTTGAATAACATAAGGCCAGATTTGTGGCAAACGCTCAAAAAAAGGGGAGGCGACATGCTGGCTAAAATGGTCACTCCACCATGATTAGTCTGGCAAGAAGAAAGAAGACACTTTAGCTGAAACTGAAACTCCTGCTGTCTGAGATGAATGCTAATGCTGCTTTACCTCACAACATAAGCTCTGTGCAGGAGTGTGAACATAACTGGAGGAATTCATTGTAAATATGTAAGTCATGAAAGCTCCTCACAGTTAGAGTCAGTTTTTGAATCAAATCGATCTATTCGGGAACAATGGATACACTGTGGGAGCGATGTGAGGACAGACTGAAAATAGGCAGCTTCAGATTTCTCAGGGCACATCCCGTGACTAAGCAAACAAATGAACATATTAAAAACTGCACATGGAATATCACACTGTAAATATTGTGTCAACCGCATGATAGAAAAACATGAGCGGCCCTGTTTATGCCCAAAGGCTTTAGTAATGTTCCCAAGACATGGAAATTATTTCACAATTTCCTGTGACCAGTAGAAAATGTTATTTTTTTGTATACATTTCTTTTTTATCATTTAAAAAAAAGTTTACATTCTCAAAGCCTTCAGAAAGTTGTGTTGGGGTAAAGAAGTGATGTGGCTGGATTTTCCATTATCTGCATTAGAGCTTTGAGCCTGACTCATAACTCATATTGTCTATTTTGACTAAAACACTCAACCCCCAATTCCTTTTTTGTCATCCATGGGAGGTTAATATACATGTATACTGTATGTGTGTATGAGGAAATGTTAAATAAAACAGGAGTTTGAATGTGCTTTCCCCCATGTACAACATATACAGTAAGACTTAATTCATATCAAAGACAGAAAAGAGCGAGAAGAAGGGAGGGGGTTTGTTTTGGGAACTAAAAAAAAAACAAGTGCTTCGATGCATGTCCAGATCAAGGCCTGCTCGGAGCCGACAGACCACAGCGACACAGATGGCAGTAGCTGGAAAGTTCCAGAGATCCGATGCGTGGCGCTACATACTGATCCACGGGAGGTTAGCCCAACACTCACGGGAGGTAAAAACGAACAAATCCAACAAACCCACGAAGAAAACCACGCATCAGAGATGTGTAAACCTCATGAGCCGTTTGTGAGTCTCTTTGTCTCAGTCCTGCTCGCACATAGGTCTACATGTAATAATGTGTGTGTGTGTGTGTGTGTGGAGAGTTATATGCTCCAGGCCTTTTCATACATTTACAGAAGTCAGTAAAACCAGTTCAGTCCTGGGAAAGGAGACAGGTGGGAGTGTGGATTCATGGTGAAGGAGGAGTGAGGGATAAAGTCTGAGCGGAGGAATGTGGACAGAAGAAGACAGATGTGGTCTAGCCTTCTTTGTTGATGGAGTTTTAGGAATATAAGATGGCCAGAATAGGACAGGAGGTCAGTCTGGGGTCAGAGGAAAGGGAGTGTGTGGTCGTTCCTCAGAAACCGAGCATTTCTACGATGCTGCTCTTCACTGCGGGCCTGTTTGTGTGTGTGGTGTAGCAGTGGTCAGACGTGGAGCACCTCCATACTGTAGTCCTCTGTCTCTGTGTACTGGGAGGAGTTTGTGTCCGACTGGGTTGGAGCCAGAGCCTCCTTGCTCTCCAGACTGGGCTCCATGAGGGGGGGCTTCTCCAGCGCCAGCTTTTTACACGTGTCGGGGCGATTCTGCACGTAGATGACCCGGTTGTACGCCTTGAGTCTCCTCCATAGATGGATGTAGACTTTGCACTGGACGTACATGAACACCAGCCCCCCCGTGAAGCCGATGGCCACCACCACCAGCTTGGTCCAGAAAGGCCATTCCAGGATCCCTGAGAAACAGAGGGGGCACAAGAAGAAACACGGACACCTGTCAAACAAAGACCACACTGAAAACTAATACAGCAAAGTATGTGAACACCACTTGGGAAATAATTGCGTTTTAGTATTATTTTTGCATCAATGTCATAACGTTTCCTTATTATTAAGATATTCTTTCACTAAATAAAATGTGTTTCTTGTTCTATCGCAGTGTTTTTATAGTAGTGCTGTTTTTGCTTTTCAAACCATCATTTGTTTCTTTTGTTATAATTTATTGTTTTACAGACGCACGCTGTTAAGAGTGCAAGTGCATTTTCACACTGTATAGAGGTGTGAAGAAAAACAATATTTTCCTGTCATCTCTCAAATGCTGCTGTCTAATTAAGTCATAAAAATGCCCCCAAAATAATCACATATAACAAAAAGAAACAAACGATTGCTTGGAAAGAGAGAACAACACCACTATAAAAGTGCAGCAATACTGCAGGCTTTTCAGATGAGCGATTTGAAGTAAATTGATATGGTCCCTGAGGCAGTTGCAGCATTTCTGCAAATTGCAAAACCCTTGAAACATAAGGCTCTATGTAAGAGGTAAACAAACTTGCAATTTGTGGAAGCGTGAATATTTGTAAAAGGCTGCAGCACTGGGAGGCAGAAAGGGGATCTTTAAAAATAAGAACAAAAAGGAGACAACAAAAAAGGTCTTCTTTGAAATACACCGCGATCTTTTCAGGCTGGCTGTTATATTTCAGCTTGCTAAAAAATATGAACAAAGGTAAGGTTCACAATTGAATGACTAAATCCTACTTATTTTTTTTATAGTATTTAGTTTATGGAATGAGATACAAAAAAATCCTCAAACTTAGTATCAGTAAGGTTTGAACTAAGCTTATACAGCTGTATGAAGAGAGAGTAACATGTGATTTATTGTGTGAACATATTTCTGTGAGGTTTGTTTTCACAAAGTCACAAAGTACATCACAGAAGATCACAGCGTGTTGCTGTACTCAGTTCTGTCTGCTTTCATTAGATTTGAACATTCAGTGAGATGGTGTGAAAATAACCGGTCATTAATGGTGAAGAAGTATTATATATATCCTGAAATTAAGGCAGACAGAGGAAGGAAAGGGGTGAAAAGTGCAGTTTGAAATGAACTGGACACAGCTGACAAAAAGGCTGACGAGGGAAAACACAATTTGAAAGTTAAAAGGCCAAAGTTGAAATGTTTACCTGGGATTCTTCCGGCTGCATGAGTAAAGAAAGTGTAAGTATCATGTATTACCAAACACACAAACAGATTGATAGAAATGCGCAGAAATTGAAAGTAAAGTCACATTATACAGTTGGATGTTATTCATCATGCAATCATAAACATCAGCTCTGCAAATCAAAGGAGACGATGGATAACATTTCAGATCTGCTGGTATCTGCACTCGGACTGAGAGAGGAACACCACTCTGTAGGACGGACAGGACTGGTGAGGAGCTCATTGGCATCACCATGGTGATTGAACCTGACAACCCTGGAGACAGTGACAAGTCTGAATCATCAGGTTGGGCACAGCCTGCTCCTCCATCTGTACGCTGTCTCGGAGGCACCAAATATGCCAGAGAGGAGTGAGTGGCAGCCGAGGTAGAGCCAGCTGAAGATAAACAGCTCCTCTTTAAAGCAGCACCACACTTTGATGATGGCGCCGTCAAGTTGTCCGAACCTCAGAGCTGCTGACCATTTTGGTCAAGATGGACGTTAGGAGAAGCCAAAGCTCTAAAGGCTGCTGAAGGCTTTTTAAACTCCTAGTCACGTTTTCCTCTTATTCACAACGTTCCAAAAGACCATGATGCCCAACTGACAACGTTACAGTCTGTGGTCTGCATCAGGTTCCAGTTTGGCACTTAAGACAAAACTAAAGTCAGCTATCTTCATCAAGAATCAGAAAAAACAATGTACCCAATAATTCTCTAAAGGGATAGTTTGGGATTTTGGGACATATATAGTTTAACAGCAACGGCTGAGGTCCGTCCATCTTTTTAAATTGCTTCACTTGAATTAAATATTAAGATGTTTGTGCGTTTAGACTTGTGTCCAGTTTTTCAATCGACATACATGTGCCCAGCTGGTACCAACGGCTGTCACATTATGATTCAGGACCGTACGTCTGTCACATTTTACACACATACACGGTGATCAGACTCCAGCAAGAATACACACACACAAACAGTTATAAAAGCAACCACACAAACTTCAACACACTTTTATCCTTGTGAGGGCCTTTTGTTGACCTTTAACTTGAGGCAAGCCATACACACAAAACCCTAATCGGAGCAAAACCACCGGACCTTGCTATAATAACATCACCATGAAAGTCTCAATCTCAAATTGGATATCAAGAAAGTTAGGACATCCATCATTCTCTTTTATGGCCTACAGGTCTGAAATATGAGAGTCTATAACAACATACAGAGAGGATCATCTCTTAAAGAATCTCAGCACACTCTTCTACACATTTGTTCTCGACTTTGATGCCCACTGAGCTGCTGCAAGGGAATTACGCCCACATATACTCCAATCTAAGAGAGCATTTCACACCATTTGCACTGCTGAAATACCACTACAGCTATGCAGATTCATCATTAAATACTATACATAAATGAGCTGGATTGTGGATGAATGGACGATTTCTAACAACACTACATCCAACAGTGAACAACGTTACGTCAATGTTTTTTTGTGTGTGTGTTAGTCTGTGCTGACCTTGTTTGATTTCCTCCGCTGTTCTGTCGATGAGCACGTAGAGCGACCACACCACGCAGGTGATGGCGATGACGTGGAAGGTGACGGAGCACATAATCTTCCTCCTCTCGCTCGCCGTCATCTGTAGCTTCTCCCACTGAGGCACAAACATGGGGGGGGGGACAAAAGGAAGGACATTCGAGGAGGTCAACAGTGTGTTCACATAAAGACACAAGGTTGCAGACACACACACTTAAAGCATAGACATTTTAAACGACAGCTAAAGACACATCTTTTTAGATTAGCTTTTTATTAGCGACCCCCCCCTTTAAATGGCCTTTTAGTCTTTATTATTAAACTACTTTTATATTTATTGTATAGGTCTTAAAGGGTTTTATCTTATATTATTTATTGAACAGCAACATTTATTTTTATGTATTTTTTTTTTTAAATATTTGAATTGTTAAACATTTATTAGAATTATGACGTTTTATTACTATTATCTTTTTATTTGTATTTATGTTGTACCTTTATGTTGACTTTATTTTATAGGGTTTTATATTGTTGCATCTATTCACTTGTCTTGTGTCTTATCTTTCTGAGATAAATCATTATTTATTTTATTGTATTTTATTTTCTATTATCTTACCTTTTACCTCCTTGTGTCTCTTAACCTGTTAAAATGTTATATTGTGCTGCATGTATCTGTAAAGGTTTTAACATCTCATCTGAGGGGAATTTGTTGTTGTTTATTTTTAGCATCCTCTGATACATTTTCATCCCAACACCTACGTCCTCATCTCCCCTTCGCTCCTCACACGCAGACAACTTAAATCTCTTTAGTAGGATTCAGAAGCTACTACCAGCAGAGCATTTGTTTAAGGCCTTTTGTGCAGTTAATGGAGGGTGGAGGAATTTTAATTAATGTCCTGCTATCTCCAGGCCACAGTGATTGATAAGACCCTTTAATGGGAATGCACTGCCTCCGAAACATTTTGAAATGAAACAGCCACCCCCTCAAGTCCGGCTAATGAAAACCGCTTCAAAGCTCCGTGTCATTCTTGTGTTATCAGCCTGACAGATTGGAGGCAGCTATTGGCATTTTTTCAACTTCATAACGAAGGAGTGACATGAGCTAAATTGGGACACTTGGAACAGCCTGGATTTATGAACTGATGCTAAACTAATGAACGTGTAATGATTGACTGTAGACAAAAATCTGTGTGTTACCTTGCGCAGCGGTTTGAGCTTGGTCTCCATGATGAACTCATATTTACAGAGCTCACAGCAGCGCGTGTCGGAGCTCTTTATCCACTGCTGCAGGCAGGACTGGTGGACGAAGCGCAGGCTCCCCGTGCAGTGGCATGGTGTGATCAGAGGACTCTCCTCGTCACCTTCACAGTGACAAATCCTGCGGGAATCAAAGAAAACGGTCAGCGCTAAGCTAGAAGAAAGACAGCTGTTATGGGAGGAAAACAGAAGTGACGAGAGATATAAAAGAGAGAAATGTTGGCAGGCAGAGCAGATGGATATTTCTCCAAACTCTTGAGTTGAGTTTGGGAAGATATTTAAGTAAACTTAGACAGGTGGGAACATTTCACATATTTGAAGACTCTGAACGCAGAACACATTGCATGTCCCTCAAGAATGAACTCAATCAGGAAAAACTCATTTGATTTAAAACACTTCATTTACAAATCAAAAGGACATTTAAAAAAATAACCTACCTTATTCCCACAACGTCGCAGCACACAAAATGTAACACAACAAATCTAATCTCAGATAGATTAGAGTTGTAGCCGCAGCAATCTTAAATCTCAGTGCTTCAAGGACTGATACAAATTGCCTGTATTGATGACTATGTTAGGCAATATAATCAACACACATGGCATCCAATACATCAGTGGTTCCTGTCCTATTGTGTTAGACATACTCTAACATCCCTGTGAGATGAACTCAGGTAACCCATGGCCATTCACTTATGTTCAATGTGTTCTTATAAAGGGATTTTGAACTGGAGTCATTTTAAATATAGTTTGTTTTTCATAATATTTAACGGTCAATATTTAGGGTTCTTTGATCAAGTTAGAATGTTGACAAAAAATACCACAATCATTACTATTTTGGATCACAATTGCTGGAACATTCGATTAGGTTCGCTGTTACCTCTAGGAATGCTGCATGAGAGGAACCAATCAGATTTTAATATCACACCGGAGCACCCCCCCTCCCTAAGATTAAAAAATGTACCCAGTCCGACAGGTTGAAGGACAGGAGCTGTAAATTAACTTTAAGAGGGAGTATATTTATCTGATGCGGAGATGGAGAGTTTGAGAAGGCAGACTCTTTCCACACTTTCACCAGTAAGCCAGTCATATTCTGCCATAGCACTGAGTTTCAGAGGTAATGGACAAAATGAGGGGTCGGAGAAAGTTATTAGAGCAACCTATTACGTCTAAGTCGAATCAATACCACACACCACCAGAATCTAAAGTCATTATGATCTCAGAATGTCAGGACCTTGTTGCAGACCAGGGCAGAGTCTTACGTTAACGAGCAAAAGCCCAAAAATCAGCTTCTGCTTTCCCCGCAACAAACTAGAAGAGGGAATACGAAGGGAGTGATTTAAAGCTATACCTTTTCCTATAGTAGATGCATGAACCAGGAAAGACTTCTACTGTGTTTGCCCCTGAGTGAGATGCAGAGAGAAGTTGCTCTTCTTTCTGGGAATAGATGGACCAAGGAGAAGAGAGCAGGTGGTTCGGATGAGTTTGTCCCGGTCAAGGGGGGATAAGAAGAAGACATGAAGACACACATGCACACCCACACCCGCCACGCATGTTATTAAGTGAGCGAGCAAGATAACCCTATTTCCAGACGACACTGATCTGGCCAAAGCGTTACAAGATTAAAGACAATGTGAAGAAGAAGAGGATAAGAGCAGGTGGAGATATATTGTTAAATAGTGGAGAGAGTGGAACGAGGACAGAGGGATTCACGGATTGAGGAAGCAAAAGAAACCTCTCATGGTGTTTTTTTCTATTGGTTATGGCTGTGACTCTTTGTGGTAATTTACATAGATCAGAGATGATGAATTGCAGATTCTCTTCCCACTGGTGTGTACTCCTCTTTCAAAAAACACAACAAAAGCCAGCCTGAGGACCAGGACTCTCTCACATCAAGGGTTGGTGCGTGCTGAAATTCTAATGTTGATATGGATTTTTATTTAAAATGTAGGAGGGAATAAGAACAGAAATATCCCTACACCTCCACATAAAGCCACAGTGGAAATAAAATGATCAGTAAACAACATGAGTGGAACAGGATAAGGGATCCTGAGTATGCTTCATGCAAGATGCCTGCTAGGTTGTCACTAAACTGCTTTAAAGATAAAAACCTTATAAATAGACCACAAAAAAACAGCTTTGTCATTTGTACTTTATCCATTTGACAGAATAATCCAGAACAGCTAAATGTACTGTGTCTGAGTCGGCAGCAGCAGCACTATCAGGTATGGGAAGGGGAAGGAACAGCCAAAACACACCATGGAGTCATTTAAAGATGACAGAGAATTCATAACATTATGTTAAGATTCAAATCTGAGAAGCAAAACAAAATCAAGCAAGCACCACAAGAGAGGAAAACAAGTTCGGCGACATAATTGCCCTGGCGAGGCATTCACTTTCTTCCTGTTCACTCTTGTCTGTTTCCTGGTATTTCTCCTGTGGCATTTAGGCAATCTATTAACTCTTCACCTGCAATGTATCGCTTTAAACCCCCACCTCCCCCCCCCAATCCCCTTCAGCAACTCCTTGCTCTGTCCTTGTCCTGAAATGTTTATTCATTTTATAATTAATTATGAACACCATCTGTTTGTTTGTGTTTCTGCTAAACAGATTTTCATGGGGCTTTTCAGGGGGCAGTGTGATATCTGAGGGGTTTTGTTCTCCTCTCCGTTCTCAGCCTGATTTCAGTCACATCTATTTAACTTCTGCACGGTGATCAGAGAATTACACATTTTAAGAGGCACCACCACAGGAACCCATCTCCCCGTTTACTCTTCTCTGCTCTCTGCATGCCTTTAGAGGTCACTTGCCTCTCTCTGTGGCGATGCTTACTTCAAAAGAGAATATTACATCTGCTGAGATTGCTGTATTGTTAAATGTAAAAGCTTGAAGTCAGCAGTGGAGTTATATGGAACTATGTTACTGTACCTGTTCTGTAAAATAACATTGTTCTGTCTGCCGCTCTACTAGCACATGCTTGAGGCCCAAAGAGGAAGACAATGCTAAAGAGCAGAGGATAGACGGAGCAAGAAGCAAGAGCTGTAGCAGATACAAAAGTGATTCGAAGCTAAGGAACGTAACACTGACTGTAATTCTTACTTTAAAGGTTGTCCATGTCTATCAAATGAATGGGGGGTTAAATGACACCTGGTTAATGCCCCTATGCTGCTCAACAGATGTGTTAATTAACAGAGAAACATGTATGAATATAATTACTACAGTTGTGTAGTCTAATGTATAAATGCAATGCATGTTTTCAAAGTATTCTCCGAAGGCAGGAAATATAAAATGAGAAATGAAATGCATTCACAACGTTAGCGCAGGAACGCCTACCTTTAAGTTCCCCTCAAATGTGATAAGGAAAGAGATAATGTCACTTCTTCAAAGGCTTCCAATCATTACTTTCTGAAATGTCAATGTAAGAGCTAGCTTATAATTCACATGGCATTCCTCTGTTCAAAACAACAGCCTGCAAGCACCCTGACAGCTCAGGTCAGGCTCTGAGCTCACGCCACCTGACAGAAAGCTCCCACGATGTGTGTTTGTGTGTGAGGTCAGAGACTGCCAGGCTATTTGAAGCCAATAATCTGTCTCCTGATCTCTGATCCTGCTCACCTTGCCAAATCTAAGCTCATGTTTCTCTCTCTGCACACAGCTGACGTATGGGATGTATAATCTGGACTGAACAACGTGCACAGACCAAAGCGTAGAGGAAAAGAAGAAACTAATGTATAATTGACATTCTTAAGTGTTTCAGACCTAACAGTCATCAATCCATTTCTACAGCTGCAAGGTCAAGTATCGACAGACAGATACTGTAACCCTGAGTGTCCAAACTGGATCTATGTAGTAGGGCTCAATAGGTTTTTCTTGGCGACTTAGTGAGATCTACTGCCAACACACTTCACCTGTAGAGATCAGGAAAGCATGACCTGGTCTGTAACAAAAGTATTCTTTACAATCTGTTCTTCCTTAAATAGCCTGGCCTATCAGATCACACACAGACAGCTAAGTGAAAAAGACTGATCACGGCCGTGTTGACCTACTGAGACAGACTCCATAGGATCCACATTTATTGTGCTGCTTCTGTTACACTATTTCTCAGAGCAACTAATGGCGCGTTTCCACTGCAGCGGGTAGCTCGCTTTAAGCGTGTCGAGCCGTGCGGGGCCCGTTATTGGTTGCGTTTCCACTTGGCCTAGTTTTGGCCCGGGGCTACTTTTTCACCTTTTTTCTGGCCCGACTAAATCGTGGTTCTAGGGCCAGCAACAACCAGGCTGAGTCGGGCTGAGTATGCTAAACTAGTGAGAGAATCGCTGGCAAGGGGGCTACAACTACAACAATATGAACATATTTGACCGTGATTGAATTGTAATACACGTTTCAAAATGATGCCGAAGTAACAACATACTGATACCGGTTAGTAAAAACCATGAATTAATGCTTTGACAAGTCTGCAGACAGACAGAAGGCGAAAAACCCTTTTAAAATGCGTGTTTTCTAAATGTAGCTTGGCTAAGCTAACGTTATATATGCTCCGACCGTCCACACTCACAACAACGGCCTATACAGACATAAATAAACCAGCGACTGTATTCGCCATGACACAGGCAGTCTGTGGTTTGTACTCGTTTAACTTTTGTCTAGTTTCTAAACAGATATGAGGAGCTGTGAGCAGGGCCGTATCCAGGATTTCCTAAATACCGAGGTCCAAACATGTTTGGGGGGTTCGGGGGATACCCCCCGAGATTTTTGGGATTTTCATGATCTAGTTAGGTGATTTTTAAGTCCTGTGGGGGGTCACACATTGGATAATATATTGATTTCAAACCATGTCAGTGGGCTGACACATCAATTATTTTTGCACATTGTCAACATTCATTTTCCATGTCTCTCTCCTTTCCATAACCTGCACCCTCTCTCATCGTCTTTAGTCTCTCTGTCTTCTTCCTGTTCATTACTCTCTCTGTCCTCTTCTCTCTCTCTTTGTTCAATCTCTCCCTCGTTGCTCACTTTTTGCTCCTCCTCACTTGTCGCTCCTGCCAGTGAATTAAAAGCAATTCAGCAATTTAGTTAATTTCACTTGTTTGTTTGCACTTTTTGTTTTATTTAAATCTGTTTTGTTTGATTCTCAAAAGAGAACAAAGATGTAAGAAAATTGTGTTTTATAAAATTGTATGTTATGACATAACTGCACTTTTTTTCTTTTTTTTTTACAATTATGCCTATTGTCTATATTGTAAATGAAGACTATTGTTATAGATAGATAGATGGATGGAGTTATTAAGCCTACATTATTCATTATTTTTGTGAGACTGTCCCTGCAGTGTGTGTGTGTGCTCTCTCTCTCTCCGGTTGATACATGTCGTCTTCTTCTGTTTGCTTTAATCGAGGCTACGTAGTTATGCAGCGCCCCCATCGTCAGTAAATGGAAGTACTACAAAGAATCCCGTTTAGTGCAATTATTTCACAAGTTTTGTTACACAGCTCGAAAAATATTACCGAGGTCCGGACCTCGGTGACCTCAATGGTGGATAAGGCCATGGCTGTGAGCTCTGAGTGCTAAGAGCTAACGGCTGTGTTGTTTTTCTGGGGCTCTCATTGAAGATGACGTCACGGCTCCGCCTACACTGCGTTATTATAGTAACTGCCCCAGTTCCTAAACTGTGATGGAAGCGCAGCATTAAAGTGAGCCGGGCCTAACCAAACCGAGCGAGGCCTGCAGTGGAAACGCGCCATAACACTCCTCTGACCCTCTATCTTTTTCTTAACATTGTCATTGCCCCCTATTCCCGCCTCTACTGCAAAGATGACAGCTTACGGGAAAAATCAATCGCACATTTTTGCCAGGCTATGTAAGAAACTTTACAGTTTCATCGATCTCTTAACAGAGAAAAATGATTTTAAAAACAGCACAGTGAAGGACATGAGATAGTGGAATGAAATGGTATGAAATGAAGTCATATTTCTGCTATTAACACAAGATAGGGGTTGAATCAGGACAGCTTATGGTGTTGTAATGTGCATCTCGGTGTCAGCTCCACTCCAGACAGGGATTATTAGTACAAATACTGCTGTGGTGTAGGATATTTGCTGGGTGGTTACACGACATGAGAGGTTCTCCACTAAGCCACAGGGCTCTGGGGTTCACTGCCACGGCACAGGGAGGATCTGGACTATACCAACAGGAAGGGTGGGTGTGGATTATACCATCCAGACAGTAACCCACCTGCACCAGTCTCCAGAAAGCGAATACGGTGACAGTGGCCTATTTCTCTCTGACAAGGGGGACGGGCAGCAGTCCAAGTCGCTGTCTGGGTCCATAAAACACAGGGGGGCTAGAAGAGAACCAGACCCATCCACGGTGACTGTTAATGGGGTGCCCAGCTGGCATGTTCCCCTTGGAGCTAGGCTGTTCCGGTCCTCCTCAAACACATCGTCATCCCCCAGCAGATCCTCCACGTGGAACCCTAACTCACTGCCTTCCAGCGGGGAGGACTTGAAGTGGATGTGGGAGTCGTTGCTGCCCAGCTCGGAGCAGTGCAGGCTGGCCGAGGTGGAGGATCGAGAGAAGGGAAGAAGGAGACGCAGGAAGTTGGCACTCGGGGAGTGATGAGGGTGGAGGTGGTTGTTGGAAAGAGGAGGAGGAGGAGGAGGAGGAGGAGGAGGAGGAGGAGGGGCGATGGTGACCGGGTCATGTGGGGGACAGTTGATGGGAGGGACGCCCAACATGTATTTGTAGTTATTTGTAAAGGAGGGGACGAGGTGGGGGTTCTGGTGTGTGGGGGCTGCAGCGAGCTTGCCGTTGAGTGTGTGTGCCCTTCGCTCCGCGCATGGTGGCATGGCAGGCTCTGGCTTGGTCTCCAGCTCCCCCTCGGAGCAGGTTCGGTCTATGAAGTGCAGGCCGCGACAAAGACTGTCCACACGTTGGCCCACGTCGTTTAGAGACATAGAAAACTTGAGCGAGCCGCTTGGGCGGAGGTTTGCGGAGGATGGGTGGAGCAGGGAGAGCCAGTCTCGTTGTTTGGCCTGTTTGGAGGCTGGTAGGGCGTCCGTGCAGAGGGTGGCCACGGAAATACCTTCTGAACCATGACAGCTTTTACCATTTGAGTTCAACAGAACCACTGCAGTGTGCTTCTGACAGTCCTGATCCTGACTGCTGCTGTGCATGTGCGTTTATGAAAGAGGAACATGATTGAAGATGGTGGTGAGGACAGAAGGAAAAGGAATGACAAAAGACAAAAAAAGAGAAATGGAAAATACATCATGCATTTGGAAACAAAGGAGCTTATACAAAAGGAAATACAACGTTTTGTGGACTGACAACACTTGTGACCCATGTTTATATATTACCCATTTTACAGCAGGTTACACGAAAACAGGGCTACTTCAAAAAGTGTATTGCTCAGGGGTAAAGGGAAAGCATCATCTACTGTTAAGGTTCTCCAGCAGCAATGAACTAAAAAATAGATAGATGTATTGCCCTTGGGTGTTTATATCACTTTGGACACAAATTACATCATTGGCGGTAAGAAATGAGGATGTTTGTACCTGCAGATGTCCTGGCTGGAGGGGGAAACTGATGTCCTCGAGAAACTGCATGGAGTGTTGACTGAAGTCGGGCTCCCTGCCTGTGGAACAAAACAAAGATATACCTAAATAAAAAAACGCCTGAATGATTTAAGAGACAGGATCAGATCAAATTGCCTGTGTTCACTGGAGAGAAATGATCAGTGTGCGAATGTGAAGTTTACAGAGAGAGTAAAAGTGTGCCACGCCCTGATGCAAAGGATGATAAAACACAAAACTGGCAGTGAATCTATCTGATTAAAGTAGTGCCAGGCAAAATGTGTCTCAGTGTGTCTCAGAGCAGGCGAAACACCAGGCTGCTGGGGAGCAAAGCGCTCAGGAGACAGACAGCGAGACAGAAGCAGAGTTATGAAGAATGAGGAGCTGAGAGAGGCACAGCTGGAGGACATGAGGCTGTGGACTCATTCAGCACCCACAGAGGGGTTTTAAACAGATGCTCCTGCAGGTACAAGGATGTTATATTAAAGAAAACACACTCTTGGCATTATCTTTCACTTCTAAAGCTGGAAAAAGGAGTGACTACTGGAAGGTTTTGGACAAAGTGAGGAAAGCTGTTCCCCCTCCGCTCCCACTATTCAGGTTCTGCTATTTACCAAATAAGTGTTGTATCTTTCTCTCCTTACTTTCAACAAGAAAATAAAACTAAGCATATTGTACAAAGTGTTAGTACAATTTATCCAAGGACAGCATTCAGAGGTGTGTACAGTGGGACGGTGAAGAATGGTAGCAGATGGTGTTTGGGTTTATAACGTAAAGACACGGGAGGCCGGGTAATTTCAATAAGGAACTAATTACCTATTGATTTCATTTCAAACTAAGGGGACATTTATAGCTTGGCCTGACACCAATCCATAGAAAATCCATCGTCCACAATATTCCCTTTGGCCTGTTTATCTGAGCACAGCTTTAACCATCTTTTTTCACACCAACATCCTCCACACTTTTTGATTGTCTTTCTTTAAATAGTTCATCGAGGGTTTCTTTTGATTTCCCGATTTTAATAGTTGACATTCAAGGCTGCTGTTTGGGGCTGCTGCAGGCGTCTGGAGTATAAAATGAACAGACAGCTCTAAAAAGTGTGTGAGGAACAAAAAGATTAGATCAAAGCAATAAAACATTATAATAGCAACCAGCACTATATTTAACCGCATGCTGCTTCAGCTCTACACCTTCTAAAAAGACGGACACATGCAGAGTTCAAGCATCATTTGACTGAAATCTGAGTGTACATTGATTAAAAGTAGATCATGTTTACACTGACAACATTGGAAAGTACCTTTATTCCTTATCTTTATTCTTACTGAGTAAATATCCCCGAGCTGCCTTGCCTCTGTTAATCATTTGTGTTGTCAACTGAATGGCAGATTGATTCAGGCTCAAACAGCAGAGATGATAACAGAGTGGAGATAATAATGATTAACTTCTTAACGGCCTGCACCAGTTCAGACATCTGCTCTCTCATAACTGCCCTCTCTCATGACAAGGACCTTTGATGAGGGAATGAGCACCAAAACACTGTGGGAGATGATTTCTCAACAAGTGCTGGAAATGTGTGTCAAGTGGTCATATTTTACTTTAGAAACTGTAAACTGTGAAAATTAGGATTATTTTCAGTTTATCTAATCAATCCTTGTTTAATTTGTGTCTTTGGCTCTGTTGTGCTAATTAGATGTAATCATGGCTCATATCATGTTCTCCCTGTAATTAACTCTGTTTATCGTGCTTGGATATAGTCTCTCCACTCTTTATCATAACTGTTTATTTAACCTTTCTCCGGTAGCACTCCCACTCACTTCTTCTTTTACACTAGTTGTAACTTCTTCTGCCCCTCAGCCTTCATTCTCCTCTTCCTGATCCACCTGTACCTTAAGGAGAACTATACCTCTCATGTTCTAGCCATAGGGGCCTTTGAAAGAATAACCTTTCAAATCGAACAGCAACAATGTATCACTGCCTCCCTGTGAGAAATGCCTTACACATAGACCGCGTGAATGGACCAGGTGTTAAAAAACACTGACCTTGAGATCAGTACAACATCCTCATCAACATCACTTTCGGATCATTGTAAATGTGACACTGCCCACCTGTTATGTTAGTATATTATTAAATATCATATTTCCTGTATGTGTCGTTTTACAACTTTGGGATGAATAAGCAATAAAGGCATTTTTCACCAAAAGCATTTTGTTGTAAAGCCATTCAAGTCTGGATGCCATGAGGGTCAGAGCCAGCTTCAGTAGAAAGCAGTAAAAAATGAGCATCGCTGCCAGAAAGAGAAACCCTGCCAGAGGAAACTAAACAAACCAGAATGTGTTCCAAAACATTAATAATCAACTAAACCATTTTTTTAAATACTGGCTTTGCTTGGCGCTTGGTATCAACATCAGTGGTCTGCCAAGCTGAGCGGGGCAGCAGAGATCTGGAGGACAGACCTGGACTGTGCTCTGCAGCAATGGAGCCTGAAACAGCAACACTAGATGAGCTTGAATGGCAGAGCACCACCAGATGTTTGGCTGACTCTCAAACGCAGCGTACTGAGCAGTGGGTCGTTGCGTTGTGTCTTTATGAGGATGTAATAGTTTAATTCCTTCCAGAACAGTGTAGGAGGCATCGCAGCGCCCCTGGCACTCCGCTGCAGAGAGACACGGCTACAGCTAAGCCTCCTGACCTCGCCAAGTGGAAAATCAACTCTTGCCAAATCACCGGGCAATCCTCAGCCGCTAAAGCTTTCAGAGCTGCTTTAATATATACCACACTGACCGTACTTGCATTTAACTAAAATGCTGATTATTTGCCCTGAACTTCACATTTCTTTCACAAATCTCCAGACAGAAACAGCTCGATAAGAGACACCTTCTGAAAACATGAGAAAATGAAAGAAAAGTACACATAAAAAGGACTGTAATGAGTTATTGGCATTGGCTCACATATCTATTTATATTGAAGACCATGCATACACCTTAATCCCTCAATATCACATTTATGAACAATTTACACCTGGTCTAAATGCTGAGGCTTGTTTTCTTTTTTTGCTATGATAACGTGCAATTATGTATCTGCCACTACGTTTTTATTTTTTGCACTAAATATTAGTGTAATATATATATTATAGTGGTAATATTTACATTAATTATGTGACCGTCTATGTTTCATGTAGAAATGTAATTGCTCTTTTTACTGCACTTTTAGTGTACAGTTTTACTATTATGCTGCTGTTTTTATTGTATTTCTGTAACTCTGGCAAACATTTTTCCTTCGGGATAAATAAACTCTTATCTTATTTTTTTATAAATCTCCCTCTCTGACAGGTTTTCTAGTGAGTTAACTGGAGAGTGGATGTTTTCTGATTCATCCTTGAAGAGGACAAAGTTGTTAATTTAAAAAAAACATCCAACAGTTCAGTGACTGTCTATATAACATAAAAGGGACCTGAAGTATCCTGCCAGGTATCAGCATACAACTGGAGCTGCTTTGACAGAAACTAATTCTTCTGATGTTTGAGCTCCCATACAAAACCATCCAGACTGTAATGTGAGGCCAAGTTGGAGATGTTCCTCTCAGGCTGATGCTGTGGTTATTTATGTAGAGAGATATCTTTTAAGTAGGTCAACAATTGTGGATACGAGCACATTTTTTGATTTGCTCTGACACGAGCGGATGTGATTCAGCTTGAATCGGAGCCATGTGAAGCTAGGAAGGGTTTGTTGTGGTGTCCTTATTCGAGTCTGGCTGCAGCTCATGTGGAAATGAATGAAAACAAACACGTGTCATTCCAAATCATTTATTTAACGCTCATCAGCGGCGGCACGTGCATAACTTAAATGAAGTTCTTATCAGCTGTACATTTAACTTGGATGATTACAACTGCCATTATATGGAGTGTACTTGACCTACATGTTGTATTCTTTCAGCAAAGGGGATGGTTTCACTTCATTTTCATTGTGCAGAGCTGGGAACTGCATATATGCATGAAATAAACGTCCGTAGTCTCTTAGATTATATTCTGATTCAAGCAGCTTCCACGGAGAATGCTTTCAGGAAGGAAAAAATATATAACCCATCCATAACAATTCTGTATTTTCTGTCAATAGTTTCAAGAGGACTTTTTCTATTTTTCAAAACATGTCTCGTGTTTTAAAGCTTGTAACCTTTTCCATCAAAAGTGACTGATATTAAACTGCCATTCTTCTACCGCTGAGATTTCTGGCAGACTTGTGCGTCCAGAGAACAATTAATACAGATTTAAAACCAACCAATAATTTGTGTTTCCTTTTAGGAGTGAGCAGGAAACACCAAGTGGCAGGCAGATAGCTGGTTATTAATTAAAAACTGTCAAACTTAAGAGCCTTTTTCATACTTTATGTCTATCACTCCATGACACACACATTTGTCAGAGAAATGGCGCTCCATGAGGAACATTCAATGCACAGAAACCAACTAATTAAATCCAACCCTCCATTTACGCATGAGAATACCTGGCACTATCATTTTGGGCCATATTGTGTGTGTGGAAAGCAAAAGCAACCAGAGAAAAACGTACTGACTTCTTTGACTTTACATTCAGTTGTGTTGTTCAAAGTAGACTGAATGTTTGAAATACCAAGTTTTTTTCAAGCCATGTTGAGAGTTGATCTGTTTCAGCTCCATTCAAATACCAAACCTACACTTTCCTGTCACAGTAGCTCCAGACTGACACTGCTGTCTCCATAAATGCCAAGCTCAAGCATTTTGGAAACCATTAAGTGAAAGGTTTGACATTTGGGGAAACACACCTTTTTGTTTTCTTGCAGAGAGGTTGAGGCCACTCTCAAATCGGTCCGACAAATATAAACTCAGCCAGCCCGGCTCAGTCCAAAGGTTGCAAAATCTGAACGCAAACACCTCTAAAGCTCACCAATTAACATGTTGAATCTTGTATCTGAAGAAAAAAATTCTCTATATATATATTTGCCATTTTATCAGCTACCAAAGGTCATGTATTTAGAGCTGATAACTAGATTTAGTTTTATCGCACAACTACATCACATGATTACAAATGTATCATCTCATTCTTTTGTATTGTAATTAAATACTACATTTGTCCATTGTAAATATTTTAAATTTGAAGTTTGTTCAGCTTTGACAGAGGTTTTACTTTTAATGATTAAATCAGTGATAAGATAAGATAAAATACTTTCCTTTAAATAATAATCCTTTATTGATGCTGTTGACAGTTCTGCTGTGTAAGTGGCCGTGTCATACCTGACCTTTGCCTCACCTACCTCTATTAAGCTTACCATTGATAAAAAGAGGCTAAATTGGCTGTGAATGGAAAGGATGTATGTTTCCTTCTTTGTTGTTTCAGGCATAAAACCAGGTGAAACTAGATAGAACATTCTGAACTTTTTACCTATACACACACACACACACATTTTAGATAAAAGCGTAAAAGTTCCAGCTATCATTCTAGAAAGGCGCTTGTGGTTTTTGACACCTTGAGAGCGGTTACAGCGGGTATGAAGACAATGAAGCACAGGATGCAGGCGACCTACGCACAGATTCAACAATTCAACTTTCTGGGCTAGCGAATCGTAGAGACAAGCTGCCCATATTTGTCTCTGTTAATAAATGAAGTCCCTGTTAATGAATTAAAGTTTGCATATTTGAAATTCAAATTTTAAAGAAAATAACTTGATTCTAAAACATGACATTGACAATGTGTTCTGCTTTCATGAAAAATGTTCATATTCCCTCTCTTTAAAATTACATATCATTACTATAAGTTTGTATTTGTTTAATTTTTAAACCTTACATTTTTGAATGTTCAATAATTAAAAGTTGAACAGTTGTGACCTCCTTCTGACTCAAAGAGAGAAAGGGGGATGACCCATGATGAAGAGAGGGAGGAGGAAGAAGACTATAAAGAAGAATGGAGAAGAAGAAAGGGGGGAGCTTGGAGGCTTCTTGGAGGAAGTTTTCTGAGGCCCAAGCCCTGGGCATTAACAATTTTGTTGTATCGAAGTTAGATTCCTTTTCAATGCCCATTGTGGTCTTGCAGTAGCACAAGAAGGTACAGATATATAGAGAAAAGTAAGAAATACATATAATAATTGAGTCTATTTAAGTCTATAAAATAACAATAAGGAAATATAAGGAAAAATACACTGTACAAGAGTATTTCAACTCAGTGGTGCAGAAATGGTAGAAAATGTAGAACATCTTTGATATCCAGACATGCCAGATCAACAAAGAGATTCCACATGCACAAATAGAGATTTTTACTTTAAACTTTGATGATTTTACTTGCCTTAAAGTGTTGTGTCATGATTCTGTGTATTACATATCAAATTACTCAGTGTAGGTATTACAGTCTTACTTAGTTTTATGCAACCACATCTAGTACCTGCTATCAAATTGAACAAAAGTAAATTGTAAGTTTATTCCAACAGATTAGGCAGCAATCAGTGATTCAGTTTAAGTAAAGTGGTTCTTGTTATAGTATGTACAGTAGCTACACATTATTCACTCTAGACTGGGAGTTACACATAAGGCAACAGTATTTTAAAGTTTAAATATAGGGTTTATATTTGTCACTCAGGTGCATGAATTTCCATTTCCCTAATGTTTGAAGAGTGACCGGCGTGTGGATCAAACATCGTTGCAGGAGCGGTCCCATGGTAATGATCTGACCCTGACATCTATTAGCACAAGTATGGGGTTTATCCGATTAGAGGCTCAGGAGAACAGGGATTGAAACCCTGGAGTGAGAGTCAAAGCAGAGTGTATATTTTCCCGAGGGAGCAGGGAAGAGGTGAGTGAGGAAAGAGAGGGTGAAATGGAGAAAGACAGGAGCCACAGAGAGAGAGACTTCCTGTCTGACAGGGAGCCACAGGGAGCGGAGGTGTGAAGCCACGTCTGCTCTATGGAGGATGGTCAGCGGGGCCCCACTGATTGGGATGATGTGATTCAGGAGAGGCAGGTTATCTATCATCTACTCTCTTTCTGTTTCTCCTGTCAATCTCCACCTTTCTTCACAGCACACCTCCGTCCACCTGTCTTTCTGTTCTCTCGCGTTTCTTTTTGTGTGTGCTTTTCTCACCTTTGATATATTGCTGGACCGGCTCGCAGAATGCCCCAGGGGCTTCTCATTCTGTAAAAGAGAGAAGAAGAAAGACAGCTCAAGTGGGTGCTAAAACCTCATGCAGGAACAGAACAAAATGCTCATAAATCCACACATGCATTCTGCACAGTCAGAACTGACATTTGCCATATTAACTGCATCACACTGTAATGAATGGTGCTGTGTTTGAGCATTTGAAACCAAACATACATCAACAGTCTGTTACAGCAACAACTAATATGCTCACCATTACAATGCCATAATCATTGTAACATTTGCTAGTTAGCACTAAACACAGTACAGCTGAGGCTGGATTAGTTTTGAAGATATTTGGTCATAAACCAAAATTGAATTTTGACGAGGGCATTACGAAAAGGGAAGGGCAAAATAAAGTTATTACAATTCATCCTGAGGGACAAATTCATGTCTGCACCAAATGGTTCGCAAATGCATCTATTTGAGATTCAGGTATTTGACTTAATTAGTGAAATGTTGTCCGAGAGTCAAGGGATCACCAATGTCAGTAGGATTTGTCCTCTAGGTCTAGGCAATGAATGAATGTCTGCACAAAATTGCATGCCAATCGATTTTTATGGACGTGGAGAAATTCCAGTCTGGAACAATGTGGTACATCGACCAACAGACCTACATTGTCCCATGAGTCAATCAATAACAATCATGCCGATTTTAGTAACAATGCAAAAACGATGGTGAAGATATGATATGAAGTGAATGCAGAAATGTTTTGACTACAGCAGGAATAGGAAGGACTGATTCATGTTTTTACTCCTTACAAGCAGAGCTTCATTTCTCAGCAGCTGAGCCTGAGCTGTTTGGCATCTTAAGTTGATAAATCAAGTTTCTCTGGCGTGAGACGAAAGGAGGACAAGCCGATTACATAAAACATCCGTCCAAACTACAAATCAACTGGTGTCACAATATTTGTATCATTACCCAGGGACTGTAACAGGCCAATGCTGTCAGTACAGTCAAGTTTTATACAAGGGCTTTAATGATCTCCGATTCCCACTCAGTGTTCAGGGCCTGCATCAGAGACTCAGATAAACAGCCATCGGAGCGCTTTTCTGCATTTAGTTAGTATTGAAGCATTGAGTAGTTTCTTAATGAATAATCAATCATAGTTACATAATGCTGAGTTCACATCGGCTGTGGCGCCTTGAACATAAAATGTCAATAAAAGGGAAATCAGCTCTGCTTATACCATCTATAGACTGTAAAACGAACAGTGGAAGTAGATTAAAAATGTGGAAACATTTCTTCCAAGCTCCCATAAATCAACAATTTTCTTAAATTCTTAAGCAGAAAGATCACAACCTGACCCAATATTTTGTGTACTTTCTTTGTGATGATTTGAGCTCATTGGAATGTATGAAGAATATGCACCATGTAAGCACAGGAGAAATAGCTCAAAGTGATATTGAAAACACCATCAATCTTCTTCTTAAAGACAATAAGTAGTCCTTATTATCCAAGCAATGTTGTTGTGTGTTTTCACCAGTAGAGATACTGTAAGCCTTCAGTGTGGCTGATAAAAAAAAGCTGATTATTATTGAATTTATATTCTTCTACACTAGCAACCCATTTGTTGTTGGTGTTGGGAACTCAATTAAAAACGTTTGCAGCCTACATCGAGGGCCAGTATAATAACCTTTCCTCTATTACATTACATTACATTGCATTTAGCTGACGCTTTTATCCAAAGCGACTTACAATAAGTACATTCGACCAGGAAGACACAACCTTGAAGAAAACAGAATCATATAAGTATATCAGGTTTCATAGAGCCAAACATTTCAAGTGCTACTCAACTGGCTTTAGGTAAGCCAGTCCTTTATTAGTATAAAAATGCTTCGTTAATAGTTCTAACGCTCGAAGTGGAGTCGAAAGAGATGAGTTTTCAGTTTGCGCCGGAAGATGTGCAAGCTATCTGCAGTCCTGATGTCAATGGGGAGCTCATTCCACCATCTTGGAGCCAGGACAGCAAACCCACGTGTTTTCGCCGATGGGAACTTGGGTCCCCCTCGCAGCGAGGGCGCAACGAGTCGTTTGGCTGATGCAGAGCGTAGTGCACGCGCTGGGGTGTACGGTTTAACCATGTCCTGGATGTAGGAAGGGCCAGATCCATTCGCAGCATGGTAAGCAAGTACCAGTGTCTTGAAGTGGATTCTAGCAGTTACCGGAAGCCAGTGAAGGGAGCGGAGGAGCGGAGTGGTGTGGGAGAATTTAGGAAGGTTGAAGACCAGACGAGCCGCTGCATTCTGGATGAGCTGCAGAGGTCGGATGGCACATGCAGGTAGACCAGCCAGGAGGGAGTTGCAGTAGTCTAGGCGTGAGATGACGAGAGCCTGGACCAGAACCTGAGTCGCTTTCTGAGTCAGCTGGGGACGTATCTTCCTGATGTTGTAAAGCGTGTATCTGCAGCAACGGGTTGTAGCAGCGATGTTTGCAGTGAAGGACAGGTTGTTATCTAGGGTCACACCCAGATTCCTTGCAGTCTGAGTCGGGGAAACAACTGAGGTGCCGATGTTGATTGTTAGGTCAAGAGTGGGACAATCTTTTCCCGGGAGGAAGAGCAGCTCAGTCTTGTCAAGGTTGAGCTTGAGGTGGTGAGCAGACATCCACTGAGAGATGTCAGCTAGACAAGCAGAGATGCGTGCAACGACCTGGGTCTCTGAGCGGGGGAAAGGACAGAATTAATTGGGTGTCATCAGCGTAGCAGTGGTAAGAAAAACCATGCGGGCTAATGACTGATCCGAGCGAGTTTGTGTACAGGGAGAAGAGGAGGGGACCCAGAACAGAGCCCTGAGGGACCCCCGTAGTTAATTGACAAGGGTCGGACTCAGACCCTCTCCAAGTCACCCTGTAGGTACGGTCTTTCAGGTATGAGGTGAGGAGGGAAAGTGCAGAGCCTGAAACTCCAAGTTTTTGGAGAGTGCGAAGGAGGATCTGATGATTCACCGTGTCGAATGCAGCAGACAGGTCCAATAGGATGATGACAGAGGAGAGGGATGCAGTTTTGGCAGTGTGCAGTTCCTCCGTGACAGCAATGAGAGCAGTTTCTGTGGAGTGACCTGCCTTGAAACCAGACTGGTGCGGATCCAGAAGGTTGTTCTGATTGAGATAACAGGAGAGTTGTTTAAAGACAGCGCGTTCAAGTGATTTAGACAGGAACGGGAGGAGAGAGACAGGCCTGTAGTTTATAACATCAGACGGGTTGAGAGTGGGTTTCTTTAGGAGAGGGTTTACTCTTGCCTCCTTGAGACTGTTTGGAAAGTGACCAGAAGTTAGAGAAGTGTTGATGAAATGGGTGAGAAACGGTAGAATATCAGGAGCGATAGTCTGAAGGAGGTTTGAAGGGATAGGGTCCAGAGGACAGGTGGTAGGGCGGGCAGAGGTAATGAGGGTAAGAACCTCACTTGGAGAGAGAGGGGAAAAGGAGGTAAGTGTGTTGGTGGAAGGAGGGTCTGGTGACCCAGCGGTGAGTAAAGGTGAGTCAGAAAAAGAAGAGCGAATATCATCAACCTTTTTTTCAAAGTGGTTAACAAAGTCGCTTGACAGAAGTGAGGAGGGGGGAGGAGCTTTTGGAGGGTCCAAGAGGGTGGAGAAGATGGAAAATAGTTTTTTAGGATTGGAATAGGAAGATTGGATCTTATCTTGAAAGAAAGTGCTTTTTGCCTGAGAGATCGAAGCAGAGAAAGAGGAGAGGAGAGCCTGATAGGTTAGGAGGTCGTCACGGTGTTTGGATTTCCACCATTTCCGCTCTGCTGCCCTAAGGACGGTTCTATTAGCACGCAGTGCATCATTTAGCCAGGGAGCAGGAGGGGACTGACGAGCCTGCCGAGATGTGAGAGGACAGAGCGAGTCCAGAGTGGATGAGAAAGTAGAGAGGAGAGTTTCTGCAGCAGAGTTTGGAGGCAGGAGATGGAACGAATCAGAGGAAGGGAGGGCTGAGAGCACCGACGAGGCAAAGCTAGAGGGGGAGAGGGAGCGAAGGTTACGGCGGACAAGTGCAGGATGAGAAGAGATTAGTTTGTTATGTTTGAAAAGGGATAGAGAGAATGAAATGAAGAAGTGATCGGATGTGTGGAGCGGGTTTACAGAGAGGTTAGAAGTAGCGCAGTTCCTTGAGAATATGAGATCAAGGACATTGCCAGCTTTATGAGTCGGTGGGGACGGAGACAGTGAGAAAGCAAAGGCGGTTAACAGAGATGTTAGTTCGTCTATCTTCCCCGTCTGGAGGTTGAAGTCTCCGAGAAGTACAGCGGGAGGGCCAGTTTCAGGGATAAGTGAGAGGAGATTATCTAATTCCTCCAAGAAGTCCCCCAAGGCGCTCTATCACACACACACACACACACACACACACACACACACACACACACACACACACACACACACACACACACACACACACACACACACACACACACACCACACACACACACACACACACACACACACACACACACCACACACACACACACACACACACACACACACACACACACACACACACACACACACACCTTAATTACTTGAGCACTTTACTCATGTCTTGAGTGTGTGAACCAATTCTCTCCATCACTCTCTCTCTCTTCTCCCTGCTCCCCTTCATCTCCGTTCATATTTTTGTCCTCCCTCACTAAAATCCTGAAGACATTTAAACACAAGATCTACACACACACAAACCCACAGACAGATACATGCTTGTAAAAAGATAATTTGTATATAGTCTCTGAGATATAACTATTGGTGTTAGGAGAACACAACTTGCCAGCACCCACATCCAAACACACAACTTATTGACATTAACACGACTGTCCTTACCTCTGTAGTATTATTGGAGAGGCTATGAATTTGTGCTCAGAGTGCAATTAAACACGCATGAGACCCCTCTTATGTCTTAATTTTCCTACAGTCAACATATCACAGAGCAATAATAAAAGTGTCCATTATCTGATCAGGCAAAGAGCTGACATTTAATCAATAGGAAAAACAGTTTCTCAGAAAAA